CATCACCGTAGTATGTAGGGAGCACGAACAAGAAAATGAAAAGATCGAGCCCATCACAGATACGACAAACATAAGCCTCATCATCGACCACCACAAACAACACCACCGCTACTAGCACCATTCGGGTGGAGGGTCTAGGGTCTTAAGGTCTTAGAGCCTAGGGTTTTTTTGTTTTGGGGTTTCGGTTTACGGCCTGAGGGTTTTGGGTTTCGAAAAATTTGCTGGCTGCCGATTTCCCTCGAGGGCGGCACGCTCCGTCCCCTGGATGTTGTGCATGATGACAGGGCTGCTGCCTGGTATAGGGTTTAGGGTTTAGGCTTTAGTGAGTCCAAGGGTAAAAGGAGGGACCCCTAATAAGGACCCCTAGGTATATACCCCTTAGTACAGCTATTATATACCCATTATATAGCCCATTATAGGGTAGGGGTCCCCATTAAGGGCCCCTCCTTTTCCCCTTTGAGTGAAGTGGTATAGGGGTTTAGGGTTTTAGGGGTTCTAGGGTTCAGGGCTGCCTGTACCGAAGATGCTAGAAACCTACCATATAGGGTCTGAGTAATTAGAATTACAAAAGAATCTTTGGTTGTATTTAGATATAGCCAAAATACGATTGGTGACTACTCAGGCTTAGATATGACTGTCATACTATAAGCTGCTGGCTACTGTTCAAAGCAAAGGGCTTGGGATCCAGCCCTAAATCCCTAACAGGAACCCGCTGGGGCCCTGAACGAAAGCCGGAAAGCAACCCTCCAAAGAACTTCTAGGAGGAACCTTTTTGAGGAACCCCGAACAACACCAACGGCCTTGGTTTCGGCTTAGGGTTTAGGGTTAAGGGTTCCTGGGTTGAAGGAACAAAAAGGATCAAATAATTGCAAAGACTCAAACCTCCACATTACCAGCAGTGCTGCACTTGAACGCATCGAACGAGCGGAGATCGAGGGGATCCTATGGTTTGGGATGCAGGGTCCGAGATTTAGGGTTTAGGACCCAGGGTTCAGGGTTTGGGGTTAAGGGTTTGCGGTTGAGGGCTGAGGGTTTGATTACGATTGAGGGTTGAGGGCTTAGGGCTTATAGGCACAAGATTTAGGAGCGATCGAGAAACTCAGGATTCCTTCTGCTGCAGCCCCTGTATGACCTGCATGACCCTCAGTATAGTGGCCACAAGAAGATATCATTAAAAGCTGAAACTACAGGAAGTAGCCCCTGAAACGATCTGATTACTGAATATTCAGGCTTCCGTACTCCGTCTTTTGGGCTACAGGTCGCGTGTGAGTCACGAGTGCTACATCCCCCTCTTTCAGTTTGGGGTGTAGGCTTTGGGTTGATCCAAGGGTAAAAGGAGGAACCCTGAATAAAGACCCCTAGGTATGTACCCTAATATAGCTAATAGGGACCCATTATATAGCCCATTATAGGGTAGGGGTTCCCATTAAGGATCCCTCCTTTTCCCCTTTGAGTTGAGGGTTCAGGGATTTTGGTCCCATCAAAGGGTTTGCTTCCGGGTTCCTGTGAGGCTTGCTGTACTTTCTTTCGCGAACCTCCGACCGGAGACCACAGAAATCCCGTAGATAATTTCGAACTCAAGCCCGCACGTATCCCTGTTCGGCTGAGGTCAGCACAGCCTTGCAGGTCAAAGAATGGCATCAGCCTGCAGCAAGGGTTGACGGGGCATTCGGGGTTAGGGTTTAGGCGTTCCGGGCTAAGGGTTGCTCAAACGGTTCAACAGGCTTTCGTGCTGTACAGTTTCACGGTATAGATTGCAATACCTCGGGAGGCCGAGAACGTTTTGGCAAAAAGACTCAGATCCTGAAGCTCGATCGATGATCACAAGTTCGGGGCCAAGTGCTCTCTCCCATCATGGGACCTACACAACAAGGCCTTTATACATTACAGACGATAGCGATTTGGGTAGTTCCCCAATTTGTAGTCCCCGTTCAAGTCCCCAAAGTAGTACGGGCGCCCAAGGAAAAGAACCCTAAGAGTCATCCTCATCCTAATTTAGAGAACTGACCATATGCACCACAAACAGAGCAGCGCGGGTGGTAGAGAAGAGATCCCAGGGACGACCAGGACTGAAGTGAGGACTCCGAAAAAAATTAAACCCAAAGCTTCGAAATCCTCCGGCGCCGCAATCCAAACCCAAACCTGTTACTCAAGGACTCGAGGACAAGAAAGAGCACCAATATGATACAGTATGGTATAATATAGCATGGCATAGCAGAATAGGGTATACTATACCATCCAACATACAAAACTATGCTGTACTGTATTATACTCGAGCAGAGTGGAGTAGAGTACGGCATAGCATGCCTCTGCTGCACTTCGCGCTCGCGATGCTCCAGTTGGCTGGAATAGAAGACCTTCCAAGCGCTCGTGGCTTTGGGCTGGGGGTATCAAGGTCAAGGGTTAACGGCTCAGGGCTAAGGGTTTCAGGGTTCAGGGATTTAGGAGTTTTAGGAGTTTAGGGGTCAGGGTTTGGGGGGTTGTCAGGGTTGAGGGTTGAGGTTGAACCCAGGTTGCAACTCAACCTATGGTTGTGGGTTCGGCTACCAACCTGAACCCCAAGCAGAGGTTGGAGCTGCGGAGGCTAACTTGAACCCTAACCTCAGCCTGGAGCTCAACCAGAACTCGAACCGCAGATTCGAGCTTAACTGGTTACAACGTTTGGCCCGATTAGTTGCAACTTTGGTCAACTCGACCTCTCAACTCTGGCTTATGGAGTATAAAAGTTTTAGGTTTAGGGTTCAGGGTTTAGGGTTTCAGGGTATAGGGGTGTAGGGGTTTAGGGCTTGAAGGTCTAGGTTGTTGGGTTTCGGGTGTAGGGCTTAGGGATTGAAGGTCTGGGGTTTTCTGAAGTCTACATTCTACATGTTCCGCGGGCACCCACATTGCACGGGCCAACAGACATCCAAGGCGCAAAACCTGATGCAGAAATCTAAAGACTCAATATCAAAAGCTGCCCTAACCTCTCTTCTGGGCCCCAAACCCCAGACCCGTAAATCCATTACCCTGAAGCCCCTAAACACTCCTCATAACAAGAACAAAGCAAAAGGCATCAAACCCATGCCCATGGAACCCTTCTAAGGACCCTGAAAGAACCCTCTCCGGGCACCCCCATAAACCCCCAATTCTGAAGACCCGAGATCCTATTCTAGAACCCCTACCGTAACCCTTGGGGAACCCTTTCCTCGGCAAGCCTGACAGGAAGCCCCCAGATCATATCGTATCATATCATATCATGACATATCATACATATCATAGGCTCAGTATGGCTCAGTGCTCGAAGGTCCTTGTGAAAGCCTCACTCGATCTAAAAATACAGTCTTACCCTAAACCCTCAGAATTCCATGTACGTCGCAAGCTTTTCTTCGAGCGCCGGCGCCTTTCCCTTTGGAAAGATCCACGAGAGATGGGTTGAGATGGGGCTCGGAGCTGGGAAGTTGCTTTGGGCTTGAGGGTTGGCAGGGGGGGTACAGAATTAGGGTCTAGGGGTTAGGGTTAGGGGCCTATGAGGTTCAAAGGTTCGTGGAGGTTCCGCATAGCTCGTTTCGGGTTCAGGTTTAGAGTTTAGGATTTAGAGGGACTTACAGTGACTTACAGTGTCTGAGATCTGGGTTGTGGTGCACGACCAGTAAAGTTAAAATACCGACCAATTTGAAGGGTGTGTCAACACCCTAAACTCTACACCCTAGACCATAACCCTAAAGCCTAAACGATAAATTGGAACGCTATGTTATGCTCTGCCCGGGGTTTGAAGCTGTTGCCTAGCCACTCCGAATCAGAGTGGGCTAAGACAGCTCCTTTGGGCTTGTCTCATGCCAACCCAGAGACTCCAAAAACTGGAGGTGGAGCACGGTTTAGGCTTTAAGGTTTAGGGGTTTAGGAGTTTAGGGTTTAGGGTTAGGGTTTTGAGAAATATGCCGTACCGATATAGTCTGAAGCATCATATTAAAGGTTCCTTCTCTGGCACTGGTCTACGGCATATTCCTTCCTTGACAAAGCGCTCCATAATCCTCGGTGCATCATCGCTTTATTCGGGCTTTTGGAGTCACAGCCAGGATGGCCCCAGCGGAATCCGGCTGCCTCTTCGAAACATCTCCAAACCATGAACCCTCTTTGGCACAAGGCACCCCCAAAAAAGGGTATAGGTAACTATTAAGGAACCAATAGTATGCTAATTCGCAGGGGCCTTACATGCTAGAGGCACGCCGGGTTTTCGGCTGCTTGGCATCTAGAAAGAAGTTGCAGGAGATGTCTACTCCTTCCTCTTCATGTGGGTGGTTGTCAAAATTAGGTACCCAAAATCATAGGTGCCGTAATATAATGGGGACCCAAAAAGGGAACATAATATTGACAACCACCCATGTGACGTCCACTCTGGGCCTTGCCAGCTGCAAATCCGGGCGGGCCCTGCATGTCACAGCGCTTTGGCCACTTCCCGGCTTCGTGAGGGCAAAGATGGCTCCGCGTTGCCGTCATTGCTGCAGTATCGATTGCGATTAGTGACTATGTTGTTGATGCTGTTGATGCTGATGCTGCTGAAACTGCTGATGCTGCTGATGCAGTACGACGACACGGCCACTACTGCGGCTACGCCTCCGGTTATGTCTGCGACTGCGACTCCGGCTCCGACAGCGACGACTACTACGACACCGACGACGAGGACGACGACGACGAGCACCACCACCGCCGCCACCACGAACGACTGCTGCTGCTACCACTGCTGCTGCTACTGCTGCTACTGCTGCTAGCGTGGTCTTATTCATTGTGGATTTGGCTTTAAACTCACTACGGCTGTATGTAGCAACAGCGTTGGGATGATTACAATCACGTGCTTGATGTTGTGCCTCAGCCTTAGTGTGTGCTCGTGTGAATTTGAGACACTTTGGTGCAAGACTGCTGCTTGACACGAGTGCCCCTTTTTACTCTTGATGTTCAGACGTCTTGCAATTGGCATGCGGGCCGCACCCAATACGTGCATGACAGCGGCGGCTACGGCGTAGCTACGGATTCCAGCATTTGGCATTGCAACCTGGGCCGCAGGCATGGAGGGTACAGTACAGGGGCCCCTTGAGAATCAGAGCTCGGTTTGGGGGGGGGGGGGGGGTATATCATGTAGGAATGGGATATGATGTAGGAATTTTGCTTAAGAAACCCTGGGCCTATAACCCCCCAAAATCGTAGGATTCATAGAAGGAGCCCTCATAAAGGCCCAAGGTTTCTTAATCAGGTTCCTACATTGGCATACACCAGGATATGATGCGCTGAGGATCAAGACCAACAATTGTTCAGGGCATGTATCAAGCCTGTTCAACCCAAAGGGCTTTATTACCCTAAATCCCAGCACTGAACCCGAAACCCGAATCCCTAAACCATCCTACAACCTGCAACGGGAAATCCCAAACTCTACAGTCCAAGCCCCTAAACAAAGATCCTTCGGCTTCTGCGCCTTGGTACTTGTATATCCTTCGTATAATAACTTGAAGTACATTCATAACAAGAGCCAGGGGAAACTTTATGAGAACCCTTATGAATGCTTAAAACCGAAACTGTGCACCCAGATTATCGCAAGGGCGTTCTGGGCTCAGGCCTTCCTTAGGGTAGGGGTTTAGGGGTTTAGGGTTTAGGGTTACGCAGGCTTACGGATGAGGGCATGCTGCGAGGTCCTAGCTTGAACCTCGACGCCCCGGGGACACGAAATCTTAGACACCTGGCGTGAGCATTTTCTGGGTCTTCCGGAGGATACTATCCAAAAACCTACTCATCACGTGGCGGCCTTGATGATTACAATGAGGCCTATATATATATATATATATATAGGTATCATTACGATTACATAGAATGTATACTTGCACAGGGACTTAACGGTGACAAACAGTATTTCTCTCCCATACCGTATTCGCCTAAACCCCTCAAACCCCGACCCCTAAGCCTCCAAGCCCACCCCCGTAAGCTCCTAGAAAACCGAACCTTAAAGCTCCGAAGGACAAATCTCAACCCAGAACTCGAAGACTGTTCGGGCGCTAGGCTTTACTCCCTGGTGCTTAGTAGGGAATGGGGGAATGGATCCTTGTAGTAGTCCATATAAAATCCCCAATGATAGACCGCATAACCCATTCCCTCATTTTCCCTACTAAGGACCAGACAGTTTAGGGTTTAGGGGGTTCAGGGCTGATTTAGGGGCGCAGAGTTCGGGTTTAGGGCGTAGGGCTTCAGGGCTTTAGGAGGTTCGGGCTGAGGGCTGAGGGGGGCTTCCGGGGATTTTAGGGGTTTGGGGCTTAGGTGTTCAGGGTTCTATGGGGTTTTACGTTTACTAGGATACCCAGTAACCTAAGAACAAAAAGGCCTCTCTTCTTGGTATTGGGTAACTTTATAAGGAACCTAGGACTACAAAAAAGGAATAAGGGTACTACTGGGCATCCTAGTTTAGGGGTTTTGGGGGTTTGGGGCAGTTCAGAGACCAGGAGCCTCCAAGAATGCATCCTTCGCAGGAGGAAGAGTGCGTGCTGACGGCGCATGGTGAGACGCACTGCAGGAGCACCTGAACGGCATAGTTGAGGCTAGGGTTCTGGGTTTAGGGTTCGGAGCTTCGGATTTAAGGGTCCCCCGAAAAAAGCAAACTTTCAGATTTGCAAAGGATAATACTATCCCACAAAATGTAGAGTGTAACCCATTCAGCTACTAAGTTCTTCTCCAGGGTTTAAGATTTACCTGGGGGGTTGTAGTAAACGAGGGCTTACGACGTAAGAGATGGAGTTTGGGTTGTGGGATTGGGGTTTAGTGGGCTCATGTCCGGCACACGTCGCTGAAGTCTAAGTTGAAGCCCTGAACCCACAAAGTTCAGAAACCTTAAAGAAACACCGAACCATGCACCCCAAAAAGCAACCGAAACAGAACAACGCAAACAAATAAATCAAACCCTCCCAGCCCAAAAACCAGGTTAAACATATCAACATCAAGCCAGAACCTACCCAAAATCATGAACCCCAAACTCTACACCCCGAAGAAGCCTTTAGAAAGAAAGACGAAAGCCCCCTGCGAGAACCCAAGGCACGCAGTGGACCAGCTCGGCAAGGCAGTAGTTACCTGGAGGCTGCGGCCTCCTACTTGGAGGTTCATGGGTACTTATAAGTTATAAGTGTTCCTTTAAGGGTCCCTTTACAGGGATCTATAGGGGTTCCATAAAAAGTATAGGGTTTAGGGTCTACTTGGAGGTTCGTGGGTAGTTATAAGTAGGGTTAGAAGTAGGGTAACTATATATAGTTATGAACCCATATTAGGGGACTTATAACCCCACTGATAACTACCCATGAACCTCCAAGTATCTTGTAGTGAACCCAGAAAAATGGAACATGGATTTAGGATGATGAGTGCTACTGTCGATGACATAAATCCTGCATTACCCAGAATAAGGAATATACCATTATTCGCATAGTTTAGGGTCCTTAAGGTAATGCAGGATTTATCTCATCAACCGTAGGATCCCTTATACTTTGCCTTAAGGGCATCAGGAGAATGATGATGTTCCGACTTTCTGGCTTCTACTGTAAGGGTTTTAGGGCTTAGGGTTTTGGTTTGTTTTTGAGGCATGGGAAGGGAGGAGGGGTGCGGAGCTAGGGCTTAGGGAAAAAAGGGTGTGCTTCAGGTGTTCCTTGTTATCGTTCCTTTAGCGGGTTCTGCAAGGTTTAGAAGGACTTGGGGGCTTTTACGGGCTTTGTCTAAACCCTGAACCCTACTAAACCCCTAAACCCTAAACCCTGGTCTAACTGTTAAAGCCCCTACACTAGCTCTAAGGGGGGCGGCATCCTTCAGCTTCGAAGGCATAGAGCAAGGGTTTGAGTGCAACTGAAACCCTAAAGTCTAACTGGTTTGTGGTTTCGTGTCTTGGGTTTAGGGTTTAGGGTTTAAGGGTTTAGGGGTTTAGGGTTTAAGGGTTTAGGGTTTAGGGTTTAGGGTTTAGGATTTAGGGTTTAGGGTTTAGGGTTTAGGGTTTTAGGGTTTAGGGTTTAAGGGTTTAAGGGTTTAAGGGTTTAGGGTTTAGGGTTTAGGGTTTAGGGTTTAGGGTTTAGGGTTTAGGGTTTAGGGTTTTAGGGTTTAGGGTTTAGGGTTTAGGGTTTAAGGGTTTAGGGGTTTAGGGTTTGGAGTTGTTGGGAACACCTTGTTGAACTGTTGTTTGGGGTTTAGGGTGTGGGGCTTAGAACTACTGTGTCGGGGGTTTGCGTTCCCCGTCGGAGAGAAAATAGTTCAAGAAAATCCGTTGTTATTTTGGGTTTAATCCTGAACTGCAACCCGACTTCCACCCTAGAACAAAAAGTGATCATGCTTGCTGGCGAAGCTGCAGTGCGCGCCCAGGTGCTGGAGCTTTGCGCACCTGGGATACTTCTGGATCCTACTGACTCTAAAACCCTCCAAAACCCCCAATCTGATTTGGGATTCGACTTGACGGCATAGGATTCAGGGTTCAGGGGTTGAGATTCACGGTAAAGCTGTGCAAAGGATTTTTATGCTCAGAAGCATGTCCGCATTCTACGCACTTGTTTTTCGTGAGATGAGGAGTTAGGTTTGAGACGGCTGCTCGTAGTTGAAGGTTTCGGACTTTCTGATTGAGTTTGCGCATTCAAGAGCTCTAGCTTCATGTTTTCGGAACAAACCTTGAGCTCGAAACCTTCAAACCTGGGCCTTAAATCCCTAATCCTAGAAACCCTTAAGCCTGGAACTTCATCCCTAGATCCTACGTGCCCAAAAGTCTCGGTGTTCATAGACCGAGAGACCCCTGAAACTGAAACCCCTGAAATAAGTTGTATGCTTTAAACTCTATACAGGGGTCCTCAATATAATATTGCTGCCTCAGAAGGGCTCCTGAAAAGCAAGTTCGATGATGTACCACCAACACCCTATTCGAAGTACTGTGAACACTTGTACATAGGCTAGGCACTTGCTCGCACAGGGCCGCCACTCATGGGAGCTCGAAGCATAGCATTCGAGACCGCAGTCCCACCTGGAGCAACAGACTTTCAGGGTTCCTAGAGGGCCCCATAGCCATTAAGTAGTCTTTGTGTCTTTATGCCTCAGATTATCCGTTTAAGGTTCTACAACCCTACAACTCAGAGCACAGAGTCTAAGCGCCTGGGGCTTTGAGGGTTCAGATCTCGGGAGTCGGGGCTTGGCGTCTAGGGTTTTGGGTTTTGGGCTTAACTTACCTTTGGTTAGTAGGGAATGGAAGAATGGTAGGAATGGTAGTTATAATTGTACCCCATTCCTCCATTCCCTACTAACCAAAGGTAAGTTAAGGCTTAGGATGTGGAGGGGTTTCGCGTACGGGCTTTTCGGGTTCAGGGCTTGGGGCATCGCAGGGTTCACCGCTTTAGAACTCTAAGCCACGAGGCTTCGAGCACTGGAGCCCACAAGCAGACCACGCTGAGGGTTGGGATACGGGAATGGGAGGTTGAAGGCTTTACCAGGTGTCCATATCAACAGTCCCCAAAATTGGCTAAAATTAGGGCTCTCTACTAAACAGTAAGGGAAATTAAGTAAACATCATCCAAAACCGATACCGAGTTTCGGGTTTAGGAAGTAGTAACGACCCTAAGCAGCAAACCCCAAGGGTACACCATACGTCCCACCAGCCAAACCTCCGAGGGCAGCCAAGTGGCAAGGAGTGCCGAGAGACCCAGCCTAAAATGCAAGTCCAGGGGGTGGTGGTTTAGGGGTTTAGGGGGTTTGGGGGGTTTTGGAGTTTCAGAGGCTTAATTAGGGGTGTTTAGGGGTTCAGCGGTTTAGGGGTTCAGGGGTTTAGGGCTTTTGGGGGTTCAGGGTTCCTAAATTGCAAGGCCTAGGAGGGCTGTTGAAAGTGGCATCGCCCTCAATTCGGGTTGGCCTTACCTACCAAATCTACTAGGGACGTTGCAAGTTAGAGTAGCTGGTGACAGCTTGTGACTGGAGCTGGCAAATTCGTGCTCCAGCACCTTGGCACCTAAACCCTTCACCAGATGCAGGGCCTTGCTTGAATGATTAGAAGAAGAGCTTGGGGCCCATTATACTATCATTATCATAAGGAAACCACAAAATAGTATTGGCATATATTTCGGCCCCTCTTCTAGCCGGACTCCACCCTGAACCCTAAGCCTTGAACCCCACACCCCTAAGCCCAGCCCTGCTAAGACTTCGACAAACAACAGCAGATCGCCACATCGGGCCTGTTAAATGGGTGGTTGTCAAATTAGGGTCCCTTTTTGGGTACCCGGTGCTGTATTATAATAGGGACCCAAAATGGGACCCTAATTCTGACAACCACCCATATAGCTGAAACCATTGCCCTAAAACGGTTTCTCAGCTTCTTGATGGTGGCTAGCTTGCCTGGGATTAAACGGGGAGCTATTGATATCCAAAACGGCTAAAGGTGACCTCTGCTTGACTACTGAAGTTGGGTCGACGATGTTTCGGCCTCGACCCTAACAGAAAGGACTCGGAAAGACATCATGCTTATCTTCACATGCCACAACAGTCCCATCTCAACCCTAAACCCTAAACCCTATACCGTAAACTCTAAACGACCTGGAAGCTGCTAGTACAGCTATCCAATGACGAATGGTACAGTATCAGTATAAGGTTTAGGGCCTAGGGCTTAGGCATAGTATCACTAAGTGTTTCGACCCACGTTAGTTATTACCCAAAAAACTCCTGCATCCTTGACCACGGAATACTCCCTCACTGTCAACGACGATCCCAAATACTAGGAAGTGACGCGCTCAACCTCGCTAAACGATCTTTACAGTAGGAGCCCAAAAGTTGGAAACCCAATAGCCTCGTTCCTTAAGATTAATATATAGGGAATCCCAACACTATTTGGCCTTAATCCGGTTTTCAACTTGATGGGGTTTACTGTATAGACACCTCAGAGAGTCCCCAGCAAGAGATTCCCGTGCCCCTTAACATGCTATGGAGCCCTACAGTAAACCCCATAAAGTTGGAAACCGGATTCAGGCAAATAGTGCTGGGATTCCCTATACATATCTATACATGACTCTTAAGGATTGAGGCTATGGGGTTTCCAACTTTATGGGGTTTACTGTAAGACAGCAGCCTTTAAACAACGAAGTGATGTTTGCAGTCTGTCCGCATGACTTGGCTGACACCTAAAGTCCAGCTTGCAAAAGGCTAAAATTCTTGCAGCCCCGCGACCAAAGAGGCCAAAACCATAGACTTAAGCAATAGATCTGAATCTCTAGCATTTCTCAAGCTAAACTCCTGCTGAAACCTCTAAAGACCTATATGTATCGTCAGGTACCCTAAACCCAAAATCTTAAAACCCCGAACTCAGTCCCGGAGGCAGACTTGGTCGGACTCGATGTTTTCATCTACCTCGTCAGGGTTTAGAAGAGGGTCTAGGGTTTAGTGGGGCAATTAGGAAACCCTAAACCCTAAACCCTAAACCGTTGGGTTTCGGGGTTCAGGGCTTAAAAGTTTGACGAGGGGGTTTCGGGTGCAGGGTTCGGGCTTCCCGGCCTTTTGGGCTTTGGTGTTCTGGGAAAGCTGACGGGCTTCGGGATCAAGTCGTTTTAGAGCTTTTAGGGTTTCGGATTTGGGGTTTTAGGCTTTGGAGTCTTGAGTTTGATATTAGGGTTGAGAGTTAAGGATTTAGAGTTTAGGGCTTTGCTCTCGCTGCGGCCTCCAACCGCGAAGCATGGGAAACGTCTTCAACCCCCAAGCACCGAACCTCTAGATTTGGAGTTTAGGCTTTTGGGTTCAACTTCTACGCCGTTTCCAGGGTTCCAGATTCGAGACCCTAAACGTTTAACCCTAAACCCTAAACTAGACCTAAGAGTAACCTAGGAATAAAAAGGGTGCCCTTTTTGGTTTAAATGGGTTATAAGGGAACCTAAACCCTAAAAAAGGGAAGAAGGCCCTACTCTGGGTCCTAGTAAACCCCCTTAAACCCTAAACCCTAAACCCTCAAACCCTAAACCCTAAACCCAAGAAGTTTCAGAATCTTAAGCCAAAGCCAACGACTGAGGCCATCTTTGAAGGCCAAGGCGTCGGCTGAAAGGTGTAGGGTACGGGCTTCACGGTTTTGGGCTTGGGTTTAGGTTTAGGTTTAGGGTTTAGGGTTTAGGGTTTCGGGTTTAGGGTTTAGGGTTAGGTTCTAGGTTTGGGCTTAGGATTTAGGATTTAGGGTTTAGGGTTGGTTTAGGGTTTGCGTTTGGGCTTCCTTGGGTTTTGAACCCTGCTTGGCTTTGATGCTCCAAGCTAGACAAGCATCTTTCATGCCTTACAGCCTTGAGATCCCAATACCCCTTAATTAAAGAATACAGTAGAAGCCAGAAAGTTGGAACATGATTATCCTAACCCTTCCATGGTAAATTATAGGGTATCCTACCATGAAACCATATTCCAACTTTCTGGAGTTCCCTTTATACCTTGAATCATAATATTAAGCCCCCCATAGTTTAAGGTATATCAGGTAATTTCCTTCATTGATGGGGTATTGGGATCTCTGGGAGTGATTCACATCGGGGTGAGCACCGGATTACATCTGCAGCTCTTCAAGTTCTCAAACCCGGCACATAAAGCGAGCCCTAAGCAGATCCCTAATCCATGACCCTAACCTCAAGGGTCCAAGTACCTAGTAATCATATACTCTCCACAAATCCTAACTTGCAGAACGACTATCCTAAACCCGAGTACCTCATTATTGGGTCCCTGGGACCCTTAGGGCAAACCCTCAATCCCTAAACGGCTGAAATCAAAAAAACAGCTCGAAATTCCCTCACCGCCAAACCCCCCCTAAGCCCGCTTGAAAACAACAACTATACAAAAACCCCGTCAGTAGAAACCCTGAAACTCTGCACCCCAAAGGCAGAATCAATAAAACAAAACCAAGCCCCAAAGGACAAAGACTTGCCCGACCTGAACCTTGGCCAGCTGGCGCAGGATCGCCTCTGCACACTCCCAGCTTTTTGCAGAGAACCAGGCAGCACCCAAAAAACCCACAACACCCTAAACCTCTAAAGCCCTCATCCTTTAAACCCCGAAACCCCTAAACCCTAATTCACACCTAAACCCATAAACAACCCTAAAGCCCTCAACCCCTAGGGCCCAGGCAGAGCCCGCAAGCAATCGACAACCATCTACCACGCTGCTTTAGGGGAACTACCTTGGGCTTTAGGGCCGCTTAGGTTTCAGGGTTTGGGGTCTTGGGCTTCGGGTCAGGGCTTATGGTTAAGGGCTGTCGAAGGTTTGGGGTTTAGCTCAAACTCCACAAGATAGAAGGTCATGACCCACTTTAGGCTAGGACCCTTGGTTTTGGTTCGGCGCAACATGGGTCGAAAAACACCTGAAGGGCAGGAAGCCGAATGTAGATGTATAACGGAACCCTAAGGAAAGGTGTTGCTAATTTAGGGGCCTACATACTTCTGACTATTCCTTCGGGTTCTGACTATAGCCTTACCATGATATACCCCCAAACCCCACAAGAATTACTGTGTCAGGTCCCCATATTACATATCCAGGTCCCCATACTAATATCTGCGACCTGCTTCACTGGGTTCTCATCCGCCGCCGCAAGAGCGGTGCCATTGACGTCGGCCTTGCCCCGGGTTCAATCCAGCCAGGGTTAATTCAGGGCTTTGGGTTTAGGGTTTAGGGTTTAGGGCTTTGGGAACTAGGGTTTAGGGCTTCGGCTTAAGGAATCCGAATCGTAAGCTCCCCTTGAATGATGCTTCAGATTGTACATCGTAGCCTACCCCTAAACCCTAAACCCCAAACCCCAACCCTAAACCCTGTAAACCCTAAACCCTGAAGCCGCAAACCCAAAAGCCCTAAATTCAGAGAAGATGACCTATGGGAGTTTCCGAAAATGGTGGTACCTTATTTTGGGCTCCTGATAATAAGGATCCTACCATTCAGGGTACTATATCAGGGTCCGCTATTTTTCGGAGGGCAAAACCGGAGAAGAACGCCTCTCGGAGGCGTGCCTTGACCTGCTGGCGCAGATTCGCCTGGAAGTCTGGTTCATGCACTTGGAGGTTCATGGGTAGTTAGAAGTGGGGTTATAAGTCCCGTAATCGGGGTTATAAGTAGAATTACCTTACTTATAACCCGACTTATAACTACCCATGAACCTCCAAGTAGGGGCCTTATTACCCTACTTGAAGGATCATGGGACTTAGTAACTAGGGTTATAATTAAGGTAGCTATACCTATAAGTACTTATCACCCCAATTAAGGTACTTATAACCTATCTTACTAAGTCCCCTGACTCTCCAAGTAGTGGGGGCATGTAGTAACTTATGCCGACCTCTTAGTTACAAGACTGGGTGAGGGAGGAACTGCAGGTACGAGGCTGTTGTATACCCAATGTATGAGTCCGTGGCAGACTTGTATATGCCTGTAAGGCGGTCCCTTTTTGGGTACCCTAAATATTAGGTGCCGTATTATAATAAGGACCCAAAAAGGGACCATAATTTTCACAACCACCCATTTGTGGCTTGGGAGTTGGCACCTGGTTTGGAATTTGACGCTTTAGGATACTGTTTGGCGAAGGACTACGTAGTTCCTTGTCCTCTGCGTGCTGAAGGTCATGGAGAGAACAGGTAAGCAAGCACCATGCGAGCGCAGGCTAATTCGCAATTTGTACATCTACGGTAAATCTCCTGCCTAAGGATCCAAGCGTCGCTCTCGCTGGGAAAGCGCGCTGACTGCTTGCATAAGCCCCTCATCCCCTCAACCTTTAACCCCCTAGACCCTAAACCTTAACCCTAAACCCCTAAACCCCTTAACCCTAAACCCCTAAACTCTAAACCCTAGGACCGTAAGCCCTGAACCCAAAGCCCGACACCCCGAAACCCTGAACCCCTTCAACCCCCTTTCCCTCTGTCCAGGCAGAGTAGGTGCACTAGGGATCCGCAGAACGGTATTGCGAACATAGGGAGCACATAAATCCGACCATTCCCTCAGGCCAGGCTCTTTAATATAATCTTACTATGACATACCCCAAAGCCCTGTTAGAATTACTACGGCGTCTGCATCGCTTAAATTTGTCTGAATCTAAGCTATGGTTGAGAGTTCAAAGGGCAATCTAAGCTATGATCTTCGGCCTGCTTCACTGTCAGCTCATCTGCCGTCGTCGACAGAGCGGTGCCATTGACGTCGGCCTCTTTTCCGGCTCAATGCAACCAGAGGGCGCAGGTTTAGGTGTAACGGGTTGGGGATTTCAGGTTTTAGGGGCTTCCGGTTAAGCTCCAAACTCAACACCCCCTTGAATAACCGTGGAATGGCGAGTAGTATGGTTTGAGGCATATTGCTGAATCTTAGGGTCTCTGCGAATTCAACTTTGGGTCTCTCTAGCAAGGCTCTTCAAGGTAATGCAGGATTTATATCATCATCCGTATGGCACAGGCTTCCGCATGCAAGAATCCCTAGCTTCATCTTTATGTTTCTCCTGGTGCTCCTCCTCCGGGAACAACTACTAAACCCTAAACCCTAAATCCTGAACCCCAAACCCTAAACCACTATGACAGCGACGACTGACGGAGAGGGCTGAGGGAGTGGTCTCCACTCAGACACTAAGCCCCTCGCAGCCGCAGGCCCCACTCTGAACCCTAAACCCCCAAAGGCCTTAAACCCTCAAGCCACAAACCCGAAAGGCCTTACGGCCCAAAAACCACAAACCCCAAAGGCCTTAAGACCCAAAAACCACAACCCCAAAGGCCCGAAACCCTGCCCCCACAAACCCCAAAGGCCCTAAAGCCCAAAAGCTCCAAAACCCACGGAGGCCGAAACCGCGCGCCTCCGCCACGAGCGGGAGGAAGAGCAGCGTCAGAGCGACGGCTCGGGAAGCGGAGCCCATCTTCATGAGGACAAGTCCTGTCTCAAGTGCCTTTGGGGCAAGGGAAGCTCGAGCCCAAAAGCCATGGGCAGGAAAGTCCTCGCGGCACTTGGTTTTTGGAGCCCTGTAAGCTTAAACCCTAAACTTACTCCTGAAGCCGAGAACCCCTAATTCCAGTGAAAGGCCTCCAAAAGTGGGATCGGGCAGGTGGGATGATCCCCAACCAAGAGCCATCACAGAATATACTTGCCCAATATTTTTAGGGAACTAGGGGTTAACCTGCGGGCTTGTAATAGGGGCTATGTACTCCAACAAGGTTACAGGTTGCGTACTCTACTACTAGGACAATGGATCCTTAATCGTAGCTGCGTTCATCCCAGCTTATGGGGTCCTCTACAAGTTCAGACGGGGATGGAGCACAGCCACTAACGCCCTCAGAAAGTTCAACTCCTGAGGTCACCGCAGTAAGGGCACCATACTTGCATCTCCATCTGTGGATCTACCGATTAGGGTGACCTGAGTTACGCACCTCCGTGAACCCCAAAGCTGTGGTGGAAACCTTGTCAAACCCACAAAGACTCCCGAAGTTGCGACGACTGAGACTCGATTCCTTGAGTCCCGAACCCCTGCAACGGAAGATCGGCTTTTGAGAAATCCGTAAGGGCCCTTCAAGGGATTCTTTAACAGCTCCTTCTCGGGTTGCCTTCAGGGATCCCTTAAGAGCTCCCTTGAGGGCTCCTTGAAAAAACCTGGACAACCGCTACTCCTTCTAAACTTCTTGACTACCATTGACCCATTACGTACCACTATGCCTTCGAGTAGATGTCCATGATGGCAGGATGAGAGCGAAATGACTCGGTGAGGAAGAAGAGGCCTCTTCGCCGAGGCGTGGGTTTTGGGGCTTTGGGCTTTGGGAGTGCATGGGGGTGCTTGGGATTGTCCGGGCTTGGGCAGAGCTTTGAAATTGGGATTGAGGGTGTCAGCGCTTCGGCGGGTTTGCGGGTCTTGGGTTTCATGAGCTTGGTTTGGGCGTGGGAGGAGGATGGTTTGAGGTTGCGTAGAGTTGAAGGTTCGAGGTCGCCGTGACGGTTTAAGGTATAAGGGCTTTTAGGGTTCAGTTTCGTTTAGGGTTACAGCGCTTCAGGGTTCGCCGCCAAGGTTGGGTTCTCGGGTTTAGGGTATACCGCTTTCTGACACTGTATCAGGCTGCATGCCGATTAGATGCTTCCGGCGCGATCACCGACTTGCTGTGGATCGCCCCAAACTCACTACTTGGGGGATCAGGGGACTTAATAAGTTAGGTTATAACTATCTTAATTAGGGTTATAATATATAAGTAATGACAAGTATGGTTACCATATTTATAACCCTAGTTACTAAGTCCCATGATCCTTCAAGTAGTTAAACAGGTAGAACCCGGATAATTTGCTTCAGACCCCGGTGACCTTGCCGCAATAAACCTGCTGGCAACCCAAGCACCTAAACAAAATCGAAGGATCCCGGAAAAAAGGAAACCCTAAACAAGAACCGCTTGTTAAAGCCCCGGACTGCAACCCTAATGCTGAACCCCTAAACCCCGAAACCCCTAAACCCCGAAACCCCTACACCCCTAAATCCTTAAACCCCCAAACCCCTAAACCCGAAAGTGGCCACACCTCGGCCCTCCGAGGCGGCGAGCGCATCGCGGCTGAGCGGATCACTGGCCGTCCCTGGCAGACGACCCGAAACTCCCTGGGCCCCCCCTAGGGTTTAGGGTTTAGGGTTTAAGGTTTTAGGGTTTAGGGTTTAGGGTTTAAGGGTTTAGGGTTTTAGGGTTTAGGGTTTAGGGTTTTAGGGTTTAGGGTTTAGGGTTTTAGGGTTTAGGGTTTAGGGTTTTAGGGTTTTAGGGTTTAGGGTTTAGGCGCCCTGAACCCCCCTAGGCCCCCTAAGCCCAACACCAGCGGCTATAGCCGGTTCGGCTTAGCCCCTGTCCTAGACCCAAGTAGCGAACTGAAACAAATCACTACTTAAATCCTTTCGGGTTTGGGATTTGGGTCGGGTTCATAGATGGTGTAATGGTATGGTGCACGTGTCTTCTTTCATTAAGGTACTGCCCTCTCAAGGAAGGACTTTCGCAAGTCAGAAACTCAAGACGGAAAGCGTAGGCTTATCACTGGTTGTTGCTTACGGGCCAGAACTTGCAAGGGCAGGACCTATGGATTTAGCTTCAATCTTTCACGTTCCAACCCACACAAGGTCCCAAATCCCTGAAGCTTTCAGATTCCCAGCATCCAGAATCTGCAGAATGCCAAGCCAAGCCTGCGAGAGCACCACCAAAATGTTGCCGCACGTTGGTGGTGCTCCGTCTTGGGCCACTGCGAGTATGTAAGACGTGACCAGGATACCGAAGATTAGCTGACATGCAGTTGACCGAGAGGAAGAAGGTATCCTCCATGGTGTACATTGGCACCCAGTAAGCCGTGGCCACAACAGGGGCGATGGTGGAGACCACCAAGACCACAAGCGTCGTCAGGATTTGCAATGCATTCACTGACAATCCCCAGCTGCGCAGACGGGCAAACAAAAATATCTAGTCACGAGCCTTGAACTGCCAAATCAAGCTTTTAGACCATCGTGCCTGATTCCTGAGAAAGACTTTAAATCCTGAACGCCAGGTGCCCTGTACACACTAAGCCTGATGGCGCAGCCGGGCCCGAAACCTTCATCGAGACCTGAAACTCTAGACCCCGAGCCCGAATATCCTGTTCATCAGGTTTAAAGTGTAGGATTTAGGGTACCCTAAATCCTGATCCGTGCAGCCTAAACCCCCCTGAACCCCGACACCACCAAACCCACTAAAACCCCTAAAACCCCTGAGCCGCCCCCTTCCCAGGATGCCTGATTGGGCAGCGCGGAAGCGCTCGTTCGCAAGGCGCTCGATCATGGACTCGTCCTTCCGCTCCGTTTCGGGTGTTTGAGTTTCCGAAAATTAGGGGTACCTTATTTTGGGGCCTTCATAATAAGGATCCTACAATTTAGGGTACTATATCATGGTCCCCTATTTTCGGAAACTCCCGTTTTGGGTTCCGGATTAGTGAAGGGGGCGCGGGGGGGGGGAGGGAGGGGCTTTGGGGCTTTGGGTCCCGGGAGTTTCGGGTTTGGGTTTTGGGCTCTTGGTGTGGTTGGGGTTAGGAAACCTCGAACGTTCTGAAGCGTTCACGCGTCAGGACAGTCCGGGTCTTGCGCAGAGTTGTCAATCTTGCTTTTGCAGTATCTTCCGGAAGGGTATGATGGTCTGTCTCCTGAGGGCAGACCTGCAGACTCCGACACAAAGCAACGTCTTGAGACCAAGTAGACACCCTGTGTGCTCCAGCTGTACAAGGGCTGCACAGACAAATGGATCCTGCGAAGTCGTTTTGACTTCACTACCCGTGCACTCCCTAGGTTTTCTCCTAATTCTCCAAGTAAGTTCTCTCCCAATCCTCCCTTGTCCTCCGAGTACTGAGTACGCCGCAAATTCTCCGAGTTCAATCCAAGATCCCTTGTCCTCCGAGCTGAGTACGCCGCAAATTCTCCGAGTTCAATCCAAATCCCTTGTCCTCCGAGCTGAGTACGCCGCAAATTCTCCGAGTTCAATCCAAATCCCTTGTCCTCCGAGCTGAGTACGCCGCAAATTCTCCGAGTTCAATCCAAATCTTCCCCTGTCCTCTGAGTACTGAACAGGCCGCAGAACTACTCCAGATCCTCCCTTGTCCTCCGCGTATACAGAATAGGCCGCAAAGCCTCCCCGTTCACTCCAAATCCCTTGTCCTCCGAGTACTGAGTACGTCGCAGATTCTCCAAGCTTTCTCCTCATCCTTCCAAACTCTATACTGTCCATTCTGAATAGGCCGCAATTTCAGAGATCGCCTCTCTCCGGTTTGTCCTGCAGATAGATCCGACTACTCCCGCCCTTTTGTGCGGCTCCGTAACCTTTGGTTTCTGCGTGTTCTTCACCCCAGTCCGACAACGAGGATGCTGCGTCGGCCCCTTCCTCATGCTCTCCCACACCAAAACTGTCCACATCCGTCAAAGCCACATCATCTCGGTAGCTGAGACTGTCATCCGTCGAGTCCTGATGGCCAAGCTCAGAATCATCATCATTGGTCAGAGAGCCACCCTCTGCGCCGCAGAGGAAGCACTGCGTGTAAGCGGCACATGCCCTGCAAACGACGAACCGACTGGGCCCGGTAGGATGAGAACAAAAGTGGCAGCAATAGAGTGCGAAGCCGGGCCTGTCACACGCGAAGCACTGCTCATCATGCAAATACATGGCGGCGTGAACTAATCGGAGCACTGTCGAACCGAAAGCGCTGCATGTTGTAATTGGTCAGTGTGTTTCCTTGAGTCGGTCCGACACCCACCCTGTGTTCCCTGCTCATGGCTGAACTATGCTCGTCAGCCAGATCTTCAACGATGATAACGACTGCATGGAAGAAACAGAAAAAGCAATGCAACACAGGTCAGGCGCAGACGGAAGAGACCAGACAGCTCGTCAATCAGAGCTTTCAACAGGGTTCAAGAGGAAGGAGGTCGCACTTCTCTTCGGAGAGTTCGGAGCCACGAGGAGTTGACAAAGATGACGTGATAGGATTGCAACGGAAAGGTGTATGACTACCCCAGCAACATGGTAGCCCAAACACCTCAAAATGCGAGAGTGCTCCGGGTCCAGCTTCCCCAGGCGAACGGCCAGCGAGGAAAGCACGAGTGGACCAAGTTGAAAATGATCGCCCAAGAGGAAGACCTGCATCAGATGTGTAGCCTTTTCAGTTTTGGGGTTCCTTCTACGCCCTTCGTGTAGGGGCTACCAGGGGATACCACTGGCTGTTATTCTGACCTGGAGTGATCAGGGATCCAGCATGAGAAAACCTAAAAAACGTCATTAAGCCAAAAGCTATACTAAGTTCGCTAGTAGAGGATGCGTGCGGACAAAGGGAGGCTTTCATGGTCGAGATTGGGTCAGCCCGGGGTCTAGGGGGTTGTAGGGTTTAGGGTTTGGGGCTTGGGGGTTTGGGTATTTACTACAGTTTGGAGCAGGAAGGTGCATGGCATAGGAGGTGTTCGGGGGTAGGGCTTGGGTGTGCAGAGCTGGATATTGGTTCGTGGTATTTTGGGGCCGTTCAAGTTTTCGAAAATTTCGGTCGACGCTAAATCTCAGGCAACTTTCACTCACTTCAGAGCTTATGTAGGCGGTGTTGAGTGTTGAGGGTGTGCGTGTTTGTGGTATAGAGGTCTGCATAAGTAGATCTCCTTCTAGTCCGTATACAGGACAGCAGAACCATGTGTCCCAACACTTTGTTCTATGTATAGTATTGGGTGTTTGGCTTTGAACCATGAAGCAGGCCAGTCCAGAGCGCAGAACCAACCAGAATAGTACTCGCTTAGGCTTCAGGGCTTAAGCCTCAAGATGTATGAGTTTGGGCTCAGGGTATCTTGCCCCAAAAAAGCCTGAACCCTCCACACCCTGCCACCCCAAACCCAACCCTAAACCCTAAACCCTAAACCCTTAAACCCTAAACCCTTAACCGCTAAACCCTTAAACCCTTAAACCCTAAACCCTAAACCCTAAACCCCTGAACCCTAAACCCTAAACCCTAAACCCAACGTGCTCTCCCAGAGACCCCGGGCCCCTTCAGGAACATACCTGGCATCACCTTACGGACCCCTTCAAACACCGTCTAGCAACGCTCTAGAACCTCAAAGACCCATGAGAAAGCCTAAACCCCTAAACCCTAAACCCCTAAACCCTAAACCCCTAAACCCTAAACCCTTTACACCCTAAACCCTAAACCCCTAAACGCTAAAGCAGCCCTTGTTAAGAGATCTTGGGATCGCAGCGTACTGGCCTGGCCCGTGTCTTTTACAAGCTGCAGGGGCACTAAAGTCTCCTCAGTCAGGCGTGGGCTTAGGGCTTTGGGTTCGGGGTTTCGGGTTTAGGATTTCGGGTGTAGGGCAGGTTTTTAAGGTTTTGGGTTCAGGGTTGAGGGCAGGGTTTAGGTGAGGGGTTTAGGGCTTTGGGTTTGGGGTTTAATCTGAATGGACAGTACAGTTTGCGTACCTTACAATACCAGACCAACTTTCTTTGCGGGCCCCTACAGTCTATACTGGGGAGAAGCCGGTTCAATTTGCTTCAGGTAGAAGCAGAAATTGCTAGACTCGGGTATTGGGGAAACACGATACACGATGATGCAAGAGTGAGTAACAAAGAGGGGAAAGCAGGGTTCACATGATGCAGGACAATCCCGAGGATTATATGAAATCGAACCCTGCCTCTGCACATTGTCTGGTTCGGGCGGCAAACGACGGGTCATGGGAATACGCTTTTGTGGAGAGGCAGGTGCTATGCCTCTACCAAGGTGCACAAGCCCTTCTGCACAACAAGCAGGGAAAAGGGAAGAACGTTCTGCGAGCATCAGCGGATACCACAACAAGAAAATGCGTAAACAACCAATTCCGTGAACCTAAACCCCCCGGATATCTCAAAAATCGCATCTACGTAGACCCATCTGTGAACCTAAACCCTCGGATATCTCAAAAATCGCATCTATGTAGACCCATCCTCGCCCGCAAGCCCTCCCAAAAAACAGGAGAGTCTCTGGCTCCGTGGCCTCGCCCGCCTGCGCAAGAACAGGTAAGACAAGGGCCTACTAAAAAGAGGTAGCTTCCGTTTAAGAAACTCCCTCAAAATGGTTCTGGTGGGGCGGGGATTCCGTGAGTGTAGCAATCATCGTCATAGGCGTCTGCGGCGGTAGTCGTTGTCCTCGTCGTCGTCCATCGTCCTCGTATGTCCTCGTCGTCGTCCTCGTCGTCCTCCTCGTCGTCGTCATTGGCGTCGTCCTCGTCGTCCTCGTCCGCGTCCTGGACCTCGCACTTGTCATCGTCGTCGTTGCGGTCGCCGTCGTGGTCGCCTCTTCCTCCTCCTCCTGCTCCTCCTCCTCCTCCTCCTCCTCCTCCTCCTTCCCTCCTCGCTGTCCTGGTCCTCGTGGTCGTTACTGCGGTCGTCCTCGTCCTCGTCCTCCTCCTTGTCCTTGCGGTCGTCGTCGTCGTCCTCCTCGTCCTCGTTTTCGTCTTCGTCCTCGTTCCTCGAGTAGGTGGAGCAGGAGTAGGACGAGAGTCGGAGCTGCGAAAGTAGTATATAGGAGTAGTAGCAGCAGTTCCTTTAACCCTTTTCTGCCAGGTGCGCCTCGTCGACGAGCACGTGGGAGAACCATCCAGACACCCCCGCCCTGTTCGCGACGTTGGCGATGTGCGCAGCGCAGGTGCAGGTGCAAATGATGACCTACAGGGGGAAACAGCCAAGTCTTCATCCTTATTCCCATTGCTGCAACTAGTTACTATGCTTCCCAACATCGTCATCGTACTTCTCAATCCTTATCTAGCCATTACCCTGAAGTCTGATCCTGGAATCCTCCCTGATGCCAAGCACAATCATCATCTGCTTTCGGAAATAGAGCCTGAGCACACACCCATTGAATACATTGTCAAAAGCACAACACCCTCAGCCCTAAGCACGTGCGGTTTGGGGTTTGTGAATGCCTTAAAGTGCGCATGAAGCATGGGGCATAGGGTGTCTGTGTCCAAGGCGGGTTTTTGCCGAAAAGTGGCCCCACAGAGGCTGGGAATATCTCAAGTATGAATTCCTAGCCCCCACTAGGCGGAATTCAAGAAGCATTCGACTCTCATACTCCCTAAAGTCTCGATGCTCTCGTGATCTTAGTCCCGTACTCGGTAGGCTTGCAGCTGGTCCAACGGGGGCACTGCAAAGCCGCGATGGCCGTCAGAGCGGGCGGCAGTGAAACAGAACTCGCGAACCTCTCCAAGAGGAATGCTTTGGGGTTGGGGTTTACGTTTGAGGATTTCGGATGTAAGGTTTGTGGCTCGGGCGTAGAGCTTCGTGATTTTGAGCTTCGGATTGCGCTTCGAAGTTCAGAGTGTGCGACTATTATCTCGCTCTGAAGACAACACCATGTGGGTAGTTGTCAAAGTTAAAGTCCCTTTTTGGGTACCCTAAATAATAGGTGCCGTATTATAGTAGGGACCCAAAAAGGACCATAGTTTTGACAACCACCCTAAACCTAAACCCTAAACCCTAAACCCTAAACCACCAACCACCCTAAACCCTAAAAAACCCTAAACCCTAAACCCTAAACCCTAAACCCTAAAAAACCCTAAACCCTAAACCCTAAAAAACCCTAAACCCTAAACCCTAAACCCCGGTCGGCGCCTCCTCGGGCACGGTGGCTTGATTCCGGCCCAGCGCGTTCAGTCGCAGCATGCGGCTCGGGTCCTAGGCATCATTTTGCTTCGAACATCCCCACCCTACAGATAATTAGGCTGACTTTGTAATAGTTAAAATTTCATACTAATTAGTTACAATATTGTAATAGCTAAAATCTAACAACCCCACACTGAGGGTGGGGAAGAAACTTCAGACACACACTTCAGACACACACACACCACCCTCCTGCTCTTGGACCTGCTTCCCTTCATCAGCCGCAGCGCCGTCCACATCACGATGCCCTAACACCCCTCCTTTAAGGGTTCCTTTAAGGGCTCTTCTTTTTGGGTTCCTTTCAGGATTCCCTAAACCCTAAACCCTTGATGTCAAAGCCCAAGGCACCATGCCCAGCTTTGCCAGCTTGGCGCAGAGCACATCTGCACCGGTGTTGGATGGAGCCGCTGCAAGCACCTTCCGGTAGGTCCCTTAATGGGTTACCGAAATTATGACCCTAGTTTTTTAAGTCCCGTGATCCTTCAGGTAGGGCTCATGGTGTAGGGTTTTGGGCGCTTCCATACCCTCTCACAACTCAAGGTGGCCACATGCATTGGAGCGTAACCCCAAAAACTTCAAAGTCCCAAACCCTCCTGAACTGCAACCCTCAAGCCCTGAAGCACTGAAAGGGTACCAAGCTCAAAACCCTCAGCATTAAACCCTAAACCTGAAATCCTTAACCCTGTTTCTTCAACCCGGACCCCAAAGAACCCAGTGGCCTGCTTGTTGGGTAGCTGCGCCAACTGCCAGATCAGATACGCCGCCAGCGTGCTCTTCCCAGTCCTCTCTGCGACAGCACCCTCTGCTGGCTATCTGGACTCCTAAACCCAGCCCTAAACCCTAAACCCTAAACCCTAAACCCTAAACCCTAAACCCTAAAGCCCTAAACCCTAAACCCTAAACCCAGGAACCTTGATAACTGGAAGGCTTTTCGGGAGCCCCACAAAGCGGGGGGATCGATGGCCGCTGGACCACGTTTGTCGGCCAAATGGGTCCCGGAAGGGCCGGAGGCACAGATTTAAGATGCTTGAAGGATCATGGGACTTAGTAACTAGGGTTATGACCAAGGTAATCATGCTTACAAATACTTATAACCTCACTTAAGGTACTTAAAACCTAACTTACTAAGTCCCCTGATCCTCCAGGTACGCTGAAAGTGTAACCGTAAGCAACGCATCTGCAAGCGGATTCCCAGGTCTAGAGCCTCGAGCAGGCACAGTGTTAGTGACTCTTCGGGGTTCCATACTATCTGGGGGGGCATAGTACAGTACATAGTATAGTGTAGTGTACTATAGGAGCTTGCATAGAATAGCATAGTATGATCAAAACAGGGAACCCTGAGGGAATGATATTGGTAAGAAAATTCGGAGTTCCATTCTATCCTGAACCACTGAACCCTAAACCTTAAACCCTGGACCTGTTACACCAAAAAACCCTAAAAGCGGAATCCACAAGCTAGAGCTTCAGAACAACCAGCTGGGAGGCCGAAGACACCCCCAAAGCCGTGCGCCTAGACCCCGAGACCTGCAACCTTTCCCTGAGACTCCAATTTAAGTCGTTCTCTACATTAGGGTCCCTGTTGAAGTCCCCCGGCTGAAAAAGCACCCTAAAAAGGGACCCTAATTTAGAGAACTACCCACATCCCTGTACAGAAGAACATGGGCCGGGCCCCTGTTAAGGATGTTACAAGAGCGATGCCCCAGAAAACTTAGAGAGCTCATAAAAACCGCTGTGGGATCCTTGTACAAAACCGCATAGACAGCTCTTCGAGAACCCTATGTACCCCCTGAGGCCCCCCCGCCCCAGAGTTCCCCGAAACCCTAAAACCCTGAAACCCTAAGCCCAACACCCTTATGTTCAAGAGCCCCCGTAAGCCCCGACCTTAAAGCGCTCCCCGAAACCCTAAACCCTTAAACCCCTAAACCCTAAACCCCCAAACCCTAAACCCTTAAACCCTGAACCCTACACCCTAAACCCTAAACCCCAAACCCTAAACTCTAAACTCTAAACCCTAAACCCCAAACCCTACACCCCAAACCCTACACCCTAAACCCTAAACCCCAAACCCTAAACTCTAAACACAAAACCACAAACCCTACACCCCAAACCCTACACCCCAAACCCTAAACTCTAAACCCCAAACCCTAAACCCTAAGCCCTAAACTCTAAACCCTAAAACTCTAAACCCCCAAACTCCAAACCCTAAACTCTAAACCCCTAAACCCCCTCTCTAAGAGTCGGTCCCCGGCGGGCCCCAGATCACAACTGGGAGACGGCTGATCGAGGTCATCGCCGCGGCCAGCGCGCGGCGCTGCACGGAATTCCTTTCTTCGGCGTTTTTGTTGTTTTTGTTGTTTTTGTTTATGGCGGGTTTGGGGTTTTGGGGTTTAGGGGTTTAGGGTTTAGGGGTCTAGGGTTTATAGGGGTTTAGGGCTTTGGGTTTAGGGTTCAGGGGTTTAGGGCTTTGGGTTTAGGGTTTAGGGTTTAGGGTTTAGGGGTTTAGGGTTCAGGGGTTTAGGGCTTTGGGTTTAGGGGTTTAGGGTTTAGGGTTTAGGGTTTAGGGGGTTTAGGGTTTAGGGTTTAGGGTTTAGGGGTTTAGGGTTTAGGGCTTATAGGGTTTAGGGAATTAGGGTTTAGGGTTTAGGCGAGGGTTGTGAGCTGCATATGGTTGACTTGAGGCCGTCAGCCCTGGGTATTGCGTGAATTTTTGTGAGCTTTAGCTGGGACTGGTTGTCTTACAGGGCTAGGTTTATAGAGTCTTTTCATCAAGCGCAGTTGGGCCCTATATGGTGCTTTTAAGCGCGAGGCTCAGGAACTTTGTAGATGGGTTATGAATGGGGTTAGATTGTACTTGGGATAAATTCCCGGGGCCTCGGCTGTTCTTAACTTTAGGGCTCAGGGCTCAAGAGTTTCAGGGTGTAGGGTTGAAAGGCCTGGCGAGGTGTTCTTTGACCTTTCATGCAAGGTTTGAGACTTCAGGAGTTTAGGTTTGGGGGGCGAGTTCTCTGTGCTTTTTCGGTTCAACTTGAAGCTCATGAGAGAGTGTCGATATGAACCTTTTTGGGAGGTTCGGCTTTAGGGTTCAAGAGCTCGGTGTCTAGGCTTCTCCAGATGACCGACGGTCAAAGAGATGTTTCAGGGGTTAGGGATGCAGGCACGCACCCTGAACCCTGAATCCTAAACCCTAAGCCCTAAACCCCCAAACCCCTAAACCCCTGAACCCCTACACCCTGAACCCCTACACCCCAAATCCTGAACCCTGAACCTAAACCCACAGTTGTCGGGCAGGGTTGGCCTCGAGACTGCGGATTTCTCTGGAACCCTCGATAGTCTTGGGCACCTAGTTTGCTTCAAGAGGAGTCTGCAATAGAGAAGCCCCCTGAACCGTAAACCCCACAAAGCCTCCAAAAGGACCCGAGCTTAGAAGAACCCCATGTCCATGTGCCCGCGATCCCTTTGCCGTGCTGCCAAAACACCGTCATCGAACACAACTGGGCCGTATGGTGTGGAAACGAAGCTACGTGGCGCATAGTCGAAGTCAAGAGTGAACCCGTGGCTCACAAGCCAAGCTCTCGAGTGCCGGTGGATCATGCGCGAGTGCGTTCCAACATGCAGGTGTTGGATATCCCTCAACAGCTGACTCCGCTGCAGTAGCTCAAGTTCAGCCCCCTGGATGTCTACGTGCACGAGATTGATCTGCCCGAAAGCACGCAAAAGGGAGTCAAGCAAAGATGCAGTCGCGAAGGCCTGGTATGTGGAAACGTTGCATAAGCGGTACATATCATTGCGCAGCAGGCCCTGAATGGTAGAGGTTGTGGAGGAAGGATCGGGTTCGATCAGAACCATGTGGCAAGAACCAGCGTCTGGAGATTTTTTCCTAAAGGCTTTCACCGCCTTGAGAGCCCAGTAGCCCCTACATGCACCTGCCTCAACCACCACGAACTCCTCTGTCGCTGCCGCGACCGCCTCAAGCATCGAGATGGTTTCGAAGTAATCCTCCCCCGGCAATGGCCCCCATGGCAGCCTCCCATCGCGCTCCAGAAAGCGTGTCAGCTCGGTCTGCTGCAGGCAATCTGCAGAAGGAAAGGCTTCATGAAGAACACCCAGCCAGTCCTCTACGATGTTTTCTTCCGACCTCCCCTTGCTCCGATTCTGGATCTTGAAAATCCCCCGATGTCCCCCATACTCGTAGATCTTGAATCTCCCCGCATCCCTGCAGGAAGGTGACCATTCTTGCACCACGGGATGGTGTGCGAAGCAGACCCTCGGATCCCAGGGATTGAAGGCTGCACAGACATGGCCACGGTTCCGGCAGAGAGCCCTGTGGTCCGCCAACGACTCCAAAATCCTAGCGACGGGCGCACGGAAGTACTTGAAGTAAGTGGAATGCCATCGCTCCTCTTGCAGCGGCGCAAAGTCGGTGAGATGCATCGGATATCTGGCCTGTAACCAGGTTTCCGAGCATGTTCGGTTCTCGCCATGCTCTGCGCGGGAAAGTACGACGCCCGACAGCATTGCAATTCCAATGAAAGGGCCTGAGCACTTCGTCAGCAGCGCCTCCACATCATCAGATGCCCTGGGAAACTGCAGCAGTTGCAAGCAGACATCTCGCATGTAAGCCGGGTCGACGAAATTATCTCCTTCGCTCTCCACCTCCATCATTCGCCTTATCAGACGCGAGGCTTTGCAACAGGCACTTTCCAACCTCCCCTTGAAGCAGTCGTCCGATTCTTCGGTGCTGGTGAAGCAGGTCCACCAGGGACATGAATCAGTCACCCGGCCCCAAGCTGCAGAAGGCAACAGACTCAGCATGCCCAGGCCCAGGCAAGCAGCAGCCCCTGCGCCAGTTAGGGCCATGGATTCCGGCAGGCGGCATTGCGCGACGACGCTTTTCGCTAAAGCTGAACCCCACAACTTCCGCAAGCAGCCCCCGAAGCCTAGATGCAGGGTTTTGTCCATATGATTTAAAGTAGAAGCCTGAAAGTTGGAATATCATTATCCTCATGCCCTTACGGTAAAGGTATAAGGGATCCTGGCACTAATCCTCCTAAAGCCATGCTTCTACTATACGATTTCCCTAACGGGGTTTGGGATTACTGCGTTGTCTTCATGGACTTCGCAGACGGGCTTGACGTTACGGTGCAAGGCCGTTTCATCTTGCATTCGGTTTTGGTGTTAACAGTTAAAAGAAGCACCTCGGATTGGGAATAATTACTCCTTAAGCAAAGACTGTTTGCTGAACTACCGAGGACCCTGACTTTTGGTCATGTGATCCTATTGCTACATGAAAGGGCTTGGGCTTTCAGCCCAAGAGTTAGTCTGTCCTGGCTTCTCGAAGCCAGGGCCTTAACCCTAAGCCCTAAACCGCTAAGCCCAAAACTCAAAAACCTGCTGCAGCACAGGATCGCGCACGCGGGGCCCCTTGTTTCTGAGATTCTTGGCTCAGACTCCCTCAGTGCGCCTTTCGGGATACATGATACCTCCATAATCTGCACCCAGACTCTTGGGTTTAGAGCTTTGGGTTTGGGGCCAGATTTTGTGACTGGCCTACTATTTACTGTAACTTCGCCTACCTCTTGACTCTGAACCTGGGTTCTGCTTATGATTCTGGACCGTAACTGAAGCTAACATGATGCCAGTGTGAGGAATGCCTGTCGCTTAACATGTGCCCCTGCTGCCAACCTTAGCTAAGCCCTGTACTCGAACCGCAGGAAAAAAATGCTTAAAAACTATGCGACCCTCAAGAACTGCATCAAGACTATATGCGCGAAAGCCGAAGAACCCGAGCACCTGAACAACTCAGCAGGTCCTCGAAAGGTGGGATCGCTTATATGAGGACTCCTCTATTTGGGATTGCCCCACCTACCTTCATCCCAACCCTCAACCCTAAACCCTAAATTCTAAAAACCCTAAACTGCTAGCTTCATCCTACCTCTGGAGCCCTTCGAATCAGGCCAGGGGCAATGCTGAGGGCAGCGAGCGCTCTGCGGCGGTCGCGTGCCTGCAGTCTGCGAGCCATGCGACTTAGGGTTCAGGGTTCAGGTTTGAGGGCTCAGGGCCTAAGATTAGGGTTTAGGGTTTAGGGCTCAGATTTAGGGTTCCTGGTTTGAGGGTTCAGGGTTTAGGGTTCTGGTTTGAGGGTTTGGGCTTAAGATTTAGGGGGTTTAGGGTTCAGGGCTTGGGGAGTGGTTCATGTCAAGGACCTCTTCCAGCAAGAACAGAAGAGCCAGCAGCCAGAGACTCTAACGTACTAGTATCCCTCGGTTGCGGAGTGTTCCTTATTTGTCCTCGTGGTGCTCGATAAAGTGCCCTTGAGATTGAAGCCAATAGAATTGCTGGGTCTGTGGTGTCGGACGAGAAATTCCGGTTCTCAATGTACAAAATGCCAGGACAAAACCGACTGTGGGAAAAAAAACCTCCTAGACCCTTTCAGCCCTTCAATCAAGGGCCCCAAAAAGCACATAAGCAAGAATTAGGATAGGGATATCCCATATGAATCCCCTTATAATGAAGCTCAATAAGGCAGGGATATCCCTGTAAAATGCTTATGCTTATGTGCTTTTTGGGGTCCCTAACAATCAACCCAATCACCCCGGCTTCAGCACCAAGCTGTGTCAAGTTTAGGATTCAGGATTTCAGGGTCGAGAGTGTAGGCATGCGGGCCAGTCGGCCATGTGCAACAAATAAATGAACGCTATGATCCCTAGAAGAACACCCCAAGCTTACCCTCACCAATCTTCCTAGGGATCTCTACACTCACGGAACCGCCTAACAACAGGCCAAAATTCCCAATCGACCCAAAACCCTAAGCCCTGAACCCCAAGCCCTGAACCCCAAACCCTGAAACTCTGAACCTTAAATGCCTTAAACCCTAAATGCCCCAAACCCTAAACCGCCATCCCTGAACCCTAAACTCTAACTTTGAACGGCCGGGGTTCTGTGCATCTGGTGCAACGTTTGTGGCTTCCTCGCCGGGATCTTCGCCAAGCACCTGGGGCTCTGTAAGATCGGGAGGGGCTTTGATAATCAGAACAGGGGTTTCCTTGAATAAACGTTAAAGGGATCCTTTAAAAGGGGGTCTATAATAAGACTTGGGTTTTGGACCCCATTCTACTATATTGACTTTCAAGGAACCCCCCCTAATAGTATAGGTAATTATTTGGGCCCCTATAGTGGGGAAACAACAATATCTTTCAGGAAGGGTATATTGATGGAATTCGATCCCTAATCCCTAAACTCCGAAAGGGCCTGCGGACTCAGTCAGTAAGCTTTTGAGAGTTACAACACGGATCCTCGGAGTCTGAGAGGTTGTGAGAGGGGTTGGCTTCGGTGCGTTCGGGCGCTTGGGAGGTGGGGTACAGTATTGCTCCTTCGCCCCTGCATAGAAACTTGCATCCTAAATCTATCTACAACTCAGCTCATCCTCGCCTGTCGCGCTCTCCGCGACTCCAGGGCGCGATGCATGGCGGTCTGCGTAAAGCGGTGGGGCTTGAATCGCACCTCCGAATCACTCCAGGCACAGTTGTGCTTTAATGATGGTGGTTTAGGGTCGCGGGTTACAGTCGGCGCAGGGCCTGAATACTGGAGAACGGTTAAGCCGAGAATTCCAAACACTGAGCCCTGAAGCGCAACAAGCGCTAAACCCACCCCTGAGCCCTAAACCTGCGAAAACCATACAATTCAGCGCATGCTTTCACAACACGACCCCCACGTTGATAGTCCTGCGATTTTTTCAAGCTCTTTCAGGGGCTTTGGGTTTTTGGAATCAGGGTTTCGGGCATCCTGAGCAATGCTATAGCGGGACTGTGAGAGCACTCTCGTGGTCTTTGTTGTTGGCCCCTCTTCTGCTCTGCTTTGATCCTTCGGTGACTATCAGCAGAGACAGCCCTGCGCGATCTGAACTGTTCAAAGGGAATCAGGCGCTACTTACAAAAACCCCTAAACCATAAGACCTCTATACCACCATAAACCGTCTATGGGATACCCTTCAAGGAGCCCTTGACGAAGCCTGAAAACCTATATACCACCATAAGCCGCTCATAGAAAACCCTCCGTGCAGCCCTTGACGAAGCCTCCTCCTCCATTACAAATCCTAAATCCGAAGACCTTCGCAGGCCGGACCAGAAGACCTCTTCTAGAGTCTATTGTCTATACCTAACCCCTACACCCTGTAACACGAAATCCTAAAACTCTAAACCCCTAAACCCTAAACCCTGAACCCCTAAACTCTAAACCCCTGAATCCTAAACCCTAAAAGGCCCTAAACCCCTAAGCCCTAAACCCTAAAATCCCCAAACCCTAAATGCCAAAGCCCATCCTATCCGACTGGAAACCTTGTACGGCCCCTCGGCGTGGGCCAGCTCGGGCTTGGCTGAGAGAATCAGCCTTGCAAGCAAGGGGCGGGTATTGGGTTTTAGGTTTGGGACTTTGGGATAAGAGCATTGGGCTAAGAGTGTTGGTTTAGGTGCCTCTGGAAGTGATGTCGAGATTTTGGTACTGCTAGTGATGCTAGCGTCAAGAAGCAATGACCAAATACGCACACAAGGGTTCAGGTCCGGGCTTCGACCGGGTTAAAATCCACAGTGCCTTTGCATCCGCTGTCATCCTCCTTGCTACGGCTACTGGCGCTCACTCCTAGGAAGATGCCGTCATAAGTGAAACGGAACCAACCAGGAAAAACGGGGCCCAGTTGGCTGGACGCCACCTCAGTTTGCCACGAGCATCGGTCTCGTGAATCATGGCACACATCGCCTGCTGGAGCGCAACGTGCTCCGGTAGGCCGCTGTCGAGCAGACACGAGTAGAACCAGCTCATGAAGACTTGGCTGGAAGCATCACCGGTGTGCCAGAGGGTGCCCATTACCACATCAGCCCCTGCTACAAGGAAGGAGCGGGCTAGACCAAAGACTCCATCGGCACCCACAGAGCCCCGACCGGTGTTGCAAGCCGAGAGCACAACCACCCGAGAGCTAAGCTTGAGAGCCTGAATCTCTGATGCTGGAAATATGGCAGATGCCGGCGTTCCGTGGAAGACCAAAGCCGACTGCTCCAGCAGACCATGTGTCGCAACGTGAATCAAGTGAGATGCGTGTGGACAGCGGTCAGCGAAACTGTGTGCACTGGCTTCATCTTCCATCACATGCTGAACTACAATCCCCGCACGACCACATGCTTCACAAACTTCCTTGCACTCAGATGGAACTGAAGGGAGCGGCTGTAGTTGCAAATCGGTGTGCCCACTGAACTTCGAAACGCCAACAACCAGCGCAGTTGGGGTTAATGCTGGCGTTCGAGAGATCTGCTCCCGCCGCCTGGATATTTGGATCAGGGTCTGAACAGATGGGGCCAGCCTGATTGAGAATTTCTCGATTAAGTACTTTCCCGACGGGAGCTGGAGAGCTGCAAAGGGAAGCATCCACAAGTGATGATCCGGCACAATGATGAGATGCTTTTCCTCGTCGAGAAGATGCTCGACTGGCTCAATCAGAGCTCTATAGCAACACGTCAAGCGCTCTTGCGCTTGCCTCCTGCTGATTATGGGTAGTCTCCAGCCCCTTGCATCACAGCTTGCATCGCTAGCATCCTCGTCGGACTCTTGGGCAACACTGGCCTCGGGCGTCTTCAGATCACCGCGCACAGTTTCCGCCATTTTTCCCAGAATCAAGTCGTCCTCTTTGAACATAGGCGCCACATTTGAGAGAACGTGTCCTCGAAACTCCCCAAAGCTGCTCACAACCCATGCACAAACCTCATGATCTGCTAGCACTGAGAAGTACAGTAGAGCGGCCTTGTTCGCAGCAGCGACTCTGGACAGGTCAGTAATCTCGAGTGGCCCCGCGCTCCCTCCCGAGCGCTCTGCTCCAAGCAGCGCCACGAAGGACCGCGCCCTGCTACACTCTGCTACGCGCAGAGCCTCCTTGGCATCACCTGCCCGCAGGAGCACGCGCTGCAGGCTGACACTGATGATAGAGGCTAGAGGATCATCCCTGAATGAGCGACTGACAGAATCCTCATGCAGGTGAAGCCAGCGTTGCCATGACGATGCATCTGCATCTTTCAGATATTCGATTGCCATGGGGAAGTTGCCCATGAATTCATAGACCAGGCCAATCATCAGCAGGATGTCTTCTTTCAGGGATCCTTTGTACATAGCTCCAGGACCCTGAGGCCTTTGCATCACGAATTCTCTTGCCTCCAAGAGTAGGTCCAGTCCACGCTTGACATCCAGAGCTTCCTTTAACGCACTTGAAGATGGATCCAACAGTGGAAATCCACACATGCATTTTCCGAACTGTGTGAGAGTTACCAGATAAGCAGAATGGCGCCAATCAGAATCCTTGGAAGCAGACACCTCAGCATAAGCTTCATTTAGCAACTCCAAACCGGAATCCACTCGACCGAGTTTGCAGTAAGCAGCTCCCATTCGAGCACAGCTTTGTAGCCTTGCAGCAGCTATCTGTTCACGATCACGATCACTCATCTGACGGTCTTCTGATTCAGCATCGCGAGCAGCATTGACACACGCAGCAAAGCTCTCTGCCGCCCGTTCTGGACAGCCTTGTCGCAGACGTGCAAAACCTTTGTTGTGCAACAGCGTGCAATGTTCCGCAGAATCACCAGTTGAACCTGCCAATGCAATACCCTCATCATATGCGGCACAAGCATCCTCACTTTGATTCACATTCACATATAAGACTCCCAGTCCACGTAATGCTTGAATTTGAGCTGGTACATCTTCGAGCTTCCGGGCCAAGTCAAGCGTACGTATCCAAGCAGTCTTAGCCTCAAGTAAATTCCCGTGAAACATCTTCTGTCTGCAATCTGCCAGCGCATCTTGGCACTGCTGAGTAGGTCTCAATGGAGGAGATGACATGAAGCTGGCTGAATCGCACAGACTGGTGTCCTATCTAGCAAGGAGTCGGCTCAGTGTTACGCGTCGCAACCACTAAGAAGTTGGCATATACACCAACAGCTGCCTGGAGCCTAACAGGACATGCATGATATGTTTGGCTACATGTTCAAAAGCAGTAATACTGGGGCCTTAATAATTAGAATAGGGTTCGGGGGTATATTGTACTATATCCATAATCAAGAACCCCCACAATGGTGCAAGTAAGTATTTAAGCCATAATATTAGGTGCGGATCTGCAGATCCGCCCACAGCTTGCATGGACGAGTCGACGTTGGTGTCAGACCGACGGCAGCTAGCCAAAAACGAAGTGTACTGCAGGACCGCTCGGTCGTTGATCCTGCCAATAAAGTCTGAAAGACCCGTTGGAGGTATTGAGGCTAAGGACCAAGCATGATAGCTCATGCTCACGTTCAAAGTGCTGGTGGTGCGTTGCAACAGTTGGAAAATGCAAAGCCAGCAACGCAGTGTCGTCTTCTCCGACCGAACAACGGCTTCAAGAACACCGCTACGCAGGAACCTGATCCCAGCCACACCAAACACCCAAACCTGCAAACGCTGAACTTCTCAACCCCCAAATCCTAATCTCGAAATCCTAATCAATCCCTGAACGCAGAAAGATCGAAACCTCAAAACCAAAATCCTAAGCCACTGACGTGTAAACACAGTTTTGTTAACAAGAAGTTTGTCTGTCCTTTGTCATCATTAACATTAACATCAACATCACCAATGTCATCATCCTCATCATCATTATCACTACCATCATCCTCATCCTCATCATCATTCTCTGACCGGTATTAAATTGCAGTTTCGTTGCCCCCTCATTCTTGCTATGAGCTGCTACGATTGTTGCTACGTATACTGTTGCACTTGTTAGGAGGAACAGCCCTGAAACCCCGCACTGCTCCCTCAGCCACCTCCCGGAGTCACTTCCCGGCTGTACCGAGGCATTGAAGGACTGGTCCTGGGCGTGGATGGTCACCACCACGCCTTTCCTGGAGGGGCGTCGCGAGTTCTGGTGGTTTTGGGGCTAACTCCCAAACCCAACATACCAAGATTTTGCGATTGGGTGGATGTCAAAATGATGGTGCCTGTTTGTGTCCATTTCACAATCCGGCACCTACTATTTAGGGTACCCAAAACAGCACCCTAATTTTCACAACTACCCGATTCGGTGATCAGGGCCCAACTGCAGCACGGGGCGCATTGGGCTGAAGCCTGTCTTACCCGCTCGAAAAAACGGGCCTCAACAGCGAAAGACTTCGAGTATACTGTGCTAGAAGTATACTAGAACACTTTAGCAAAGACTTCTGTGATATGATAAGTAAGAAAGAGGGAATAGTATGGACTAGTAGTACTTCTTCAGACCTCACGCCAAAACGTTAAAAATTGAACCGAAAGCCCAGAAGACAAGGGCCACAAAACAGAGGAGAAAGGCGAGGCTTCAGAGCTTTATGGTTAAGGCCATAATCCCAAAACCTCGAACCTCCAAACTTTCGAGCTTCGAAAAACTGTCTGGTTCTTAGCAGGGAGTGGGGGAATGGATTATGGAGACTATTATTGGGGATTATATAGCCTAGTTGCTGAGTTGATAAGCCCCAAAAAGTGTATACTTTCAGTTCTATGAGAGATCACACTATCCCAAAAAGTGTACAGTGTGCACACTCAGCTACTAAGATAGGGACTACTATAGGGATCCATTCCTCCATTCCCTACTAAGAACCAGACAGAAAAAGCATGGAGGGGTTGGATCTCTGTGGTCGGGAATTGTATCGAAGTCCAAGCAGCAAGAGGCTTTGGACCAGCGCCGGGTCGCGATCGTGGATCTCACTGATGTCCAGCCTTGTACCCAGGGACTGCAATAATCAGGATCCCTTGAATAAAGACTATTCAGTCATAATGGTCGGGATCCTTAAACAGGGACCCGTGATTAAGGGGCATTAGAATTTATGAATACACGTTTGGGTTTACTGTTCTCTCGACATGCATTTCGGGGTTAAGGCTTTAGATGATTTAGGAATCTGACTTCATGTTCGAGGGATTCAGTGCATGGGTCTGAAGGCATACCGACATCGAAAACCCTAAGCCCCCGCATCCTGGACCCACCGGCAAGACCTGTCGGCCACAAAACCTGCTCATGCTCATAGTAGTGACTAAGGTCCCAGAGACTCCAATACCCCTTAATTAGGGAATATTCCTTAAACCATATTAAGGATCCTACTATAATTTAAGGTATATTCCTTAATTAAGGGATATTGGAGTCTCTGGGGTTACGGCAATGTAAATGATAAGGTTACGAAACTTGGGGCTTTCGGGGCTTCGGGGTCCATGTGCCCAGGGGCCGGAAAAGCCCATCGCCGAGCGGAGGCAGCGTTCCGGTGAGGACCTGACGAACTTCCAGCGGCCGAGGGCTTCGAAGGATTCCAAGGAGACCCCCGGAGCCTCTGAACTTTAGGGTTTAGGGTTTAAGGCTTAGGGCCAACTTAGGGCTTTAAGGTTCCGGTTTTGAGGTGCAGGGTTGAGTTACGGATTGGGGAGTAAGGTTTCAGGTTGGGGATTAAGCTGTATAGGGTTTAGGGCTCAGGGTTGAGTTTCAGGGGTTTTGGGTTTATGGTTTATTGTTGAAGGTTGAGTGTTAAGGGTTAGGGTATTCGTGGTTTCAGGCCCAGGGGTTGGTTTTTCAGATGCAGACACACAAGAGAGATGAGGGTAAGCATCCGTTTGCATGGATGAAAGCATGCTTCATGTCTGGGGGAGCGTTTAGGGCAAGGGTGCCTCGCTGGCTGCTTGTTGCCACAAGTCCTCAACCACCATGTGTAGCAGCTATGTAAAACTGCAAATGAATCCCTGTCGGACGCTTCTGACACCCGTAAGACTCCGATAAGAACCCCTTCATAAACCTCAAGACCCACTCACTCTAAACACCTTCACGAAACGGAACAGAAACTAAGAGCCCCTACAATCACAAAACACTGTAAGCCCAATAGAAGGGTAAGGACCCTATAAACGAGCCCTGTAGATCCGTATTCTCAACCGCCTTACACAAAACTTTCGAAACCCTGAAAAACACCAAATCCTCAACATCTCTAAACCCCAAAACCTTAAATCTCTAAATCCCAAAACCCTAAACCCCGGTTTAGGGCTTATGGGTTTAGGACTACACCCCTAAGTCTCAAAATCCCAAACCCCGAAAGCCTGAATCCCCAAAGCCTAAACCCGACCCGAGCCGATGGATCTCCCGGCCTCACAGCGATGAAGCTCCACGGCCACCTCGGCTCCCACCCGTCCCTCTCGAGAACTTCTGCGCTTTTGGGGGGGCCTTTTGGTGTTTAGGCTCCAGGGTTTAGGGTTTGGGTTTGGGGGGCCCTTTAATGTTCAGGGTTTAGGGTTTGGGGTTTAGGGCTTGAGGTCGAGACGCTGAACCCGACTTAGAGCGTAGCGTGGCCCGAGTTGAAGGGCTTTGTTGGGACGGGCTGAACGTCTGAAGCCTTCATGGTGTAGCATGGAGTGCCGTGGGTATTCCGGGTCTTTAGGGCGATGTGGGAAAGGACAGGTTTAGTGCTCCCAAGGGGCTTTTTGCGTGACCCTGCGTCTTTCATGAAGTTTTCCCGTGTCTGAGGGCTAGATCTTCAGAATTTCAGGGCTTAGCAACCAAACCTAACCCCCAAAGCCCCAAAGCGCCAAACGCGCCAAACACGCCAACCCTCAGACCTTGGACCCCAAACCGGCAATATCTGAAAACCTCAGGGCCAAGGCCGTTGACCGTAAACCGAAAATCCAACACCGTAAAAAACCCAGAACTGAATCAGGAAACGGGGCACCCCAGGCAGCTAAATGTAGAGGTCTGAACAATTCCGTCATTGACTATGATTGGAGCCATGTTCCTGATTTAAGGGGGCTTCTGGGTTCTTGTCAAGGGATTTCATTTAAGTTCCATGACAGGGATCTATCGTAAATGATACGGTTTCCTTATATTACAGTAACTTAAACTAAATTCCTTAACAAAAAACCCAGTGTTGGAGCCCGGGTAGGTTCCTTGCGAGGATAGAGCAGAGTGGCACTGAGCTCCTCCACCCAGAGGCTTTCGTGCAACTTCGCCGTGCGCCGCTCCGCCTCTGAATTCGGGTCGTGAGGCTTTGGGCTTAGCCTTCAGGGTTGAGGGCCTTGGGTTTAGATGCTCAGGGTTTTGGGTTCAGGGGTTTGGGTTTAGATGTTTGGGGTTTAGGGTTTAGGGCTTTGGGTGTAGACGTAGACTTTTTAGGGTTTGGGGTTTAGGGGTTTTGGCTTTGGGCGTTGCGGCGTTGGGCGATCATGGTTTGGGGTACGTAGGGCGTGAAGTTTTCGGTTTCGAGCTGTAGGTATCAAAGACGGCTCCAGTCTTCTGGGTCCAAGGACAAGGGTTTGCCAGAGCTTTTGGATTTACGGTTGCAGGTTCTGGAGATAAGGTCTTGAATGTAGAGTCTCGGGTCTGGATACACGGTTCAGGAGCTAGGATTGAGCATCAGGCCCGAAAAGCCAAACATGCGTGCAGAGGAAACCGTAACTCATATATGCAGGCAACGACGAAACTCACTTCAAAGAGAGATCGAGAAATCCAAAAAAGCGACATCAGGCAAGATGACAAGCAGAAAAGTCAAACCCATAAGCCCCTCCACACTAAATCTCCAAAACAGAATCCCTAAATGGAACCCTTCAAACTAGCAGGACCGGCTAAACACCCGTAAGTTGTGAGTTAGGGCCACCATAAAAGTATCCTCATAAAGCGCTCAATCCCTATGACGCTTTAAAGCAGGGATACCCTCGAAGGAACGAAGCCCTGATCTATGCCTGTATGCTTGTAGAAGCCTACTGCCCCTCTGGAACCCTGTCAAACCCTACACCCTGAACCCTTTTACTCGTAGAGCCGCAATTTCTAAGCCCAAATGCTGAGCAGAACCTTAATCGACACGTCATTCCGTGAGCCGTAAACTTTACTTGAACCTTCACCCCTACAACCAAAACCTAAACCCCCAGCAATAGACCCGCTATTCCCTTAGATGTATACCTTGAACCTTCATCCCTAAATCTTAACCCCTAAACCCTAAACCCTAAACCCTAAACCCCAAACCCTGAACCTCAGCCCGAAAATCACCGAAACGCTATTGGAACCCACCTGGGGGCAGTCTTTGCCCAGCTTCCCCAAGCGCTGTTTGGCCCAGGCTCTCGTCTGACTCCAGAAGGCCCTTCCTGGGCTCTTCAAGGTTTACAAGTTAAGCTCCTTAAAGGGCTCCTTAATGGGATCTATATATATATATATATATAGGGTTCCTTTACTTTGAGGATCAGGGGACTTAGTAAGCTAGGTTACAAGTACCTGAATTTTGGCTTAAACGTGGTTATATTTATGGTCGCCTTAATTATAACCCTAGTTGCTAAGTCCCATGATCCTTCAAGTAGGGTTTTGGGCTCAGGGGGCTTAGGGTTTGGGGCTTGGGGCTCCTTAAAGGGTTCTACAAGGGATCCATAAGGTTTAAGGCTTTGGGTTCAGGAGTTCAGGATTTCGGGCTTAGGGTTTGGGGTGTAGGGTTTAGGGACTAGGCCTGAGGTTGGAGGGGTTTAGGGCGTAGGGTGTATTGGGTTAGGTGCTGGGCAGGGGTTGTCGGACTCCAGAGCGCGCTTCCTGGATTAGCGGAGTTGAAATCCGCCAGCTCGTTTGTGTACGGCTTCATAGGGTATTAAATGGCGTGTTCCACTCAAATGATTCGCAGAAAAACACTGTTAATGATGATCAAGGCCATTCCCTCAACCGTTCAACCCGACACAAACCTGAGTAAGCCCTCAGCCCTAAACCCTACACCTAAAAACGCAAAAACAACTCACCCTCCCCACAACAAAAAGCAAACCCCAAACAACAAAACTATTACCCCCCACTGCCACCCCAGAAAAAAACTGCCTAAGGAAAACTAGAGAGGATGATAATCATAGTAGTAGTTTATTAGTCATGATAACAACGACAACAGTAATAATGCGAATTATGCAGCTATGTGTAGTAATTTTACCAACCATAACAATAATGATGATAAAAACGCAAAATAAATCGCAACATTAATGACAATAATACCGATGATAATAACAATAAGAAGCAGAAGGAGAAGAAGAAAACTCTAAACCCGAGACCCTAAACCCCCTAAACCCCTCCACCCCTTCTAAACCCTAAACCCCTCCACCCCTACTAACCCCTAAACCCCCCTAAACCCCCCTAAACCCCCCTAAACCCCCCTAAACCCCCCTAAACCCCCCTAAACCCCCCTAAATTCCAATTTCCTAAACCCGAGCTCCCGTGCAGACCCCGGGTCGCTGCTCTCGGAAGCCGGCGTCGAAGTCTTCGAGCGACGGATCCTCGGAGCTGGTCTCCAGCTTGCCGTCCATAAACCTTTCAAGGCTTCAGGGGTTTAGGGTTTTAGGGTTTGGGGTTTCTTAAAGGGTTCTATAAGGGATCTCTAAGGTTTAGAGTTTAGGGTTTAGGGCTCCAGCTTGCCGTCCATAAACCTTTCAGGGCTTTAGGGCTCCTTTAAGGGCTCCTCTAAGGGCTCCTTGTAATGCTCCTTCTGAAGCTCCGTTTAAGGACTCCTTTAAGGGTTCTTCATAGGGCTACATGTCCATCAACCTTTCAGGGCTTTAGGGTTCCTTAAGAGGCTACCTTAAAGGCTTCTTTTAAGGGCTCCTCTGAAGGTTTCAAGAGGGCCTCCTCTAAGGGCTTCGGGTTCCTTCAAAGGCTCCTTTGACGGCTCCATACGAATTAGTAGAAACATGCTAAATATGAGGAGTAAATGGGTAGTGATACTACGGCAATAATGTACAAACCTCGAAGGGGCTGAGGGTTCCTTTATGGGCTTCTAGGGTTCCTTTAAGGGCTCTCTTAAAGATTCCTAGAAATTTCGTGGCAAGGCTTTTAAGGTTCAGGGCTTTAGGATACAGGGTGTAGGATTTACTTTTTTCCACTCGGGGCCGGAGTAATTACAAGTTACGATAGGGTCCTTTAGGGTTCCTTTACGGGGCTCTTGGCTCTTCAGATTTTCAAGAAGGGTTCTGTAGTAGAGGAGAAGGGTTCTGTAATAGACCTTGATGCAATACCGGGACCTCAGCAATTCGGAATAGGCTGCTTCCTCGTCCACCCCTGTATGACATCAAAGTATGGTATGGTGGGATCCCGCTGCCTACGCGCTTCGACACGCTTAACTTTTGGGATCCATGATCTGAACCCTAAACCCTAAAAACATCTAAAAACCCTAACCCGCAAACCCAGTTCGGCACGCCCTAAACCCGTAAACGCAAGCGCGAGTTCTGGGGTTTAGGGCTGAAGCTTTGGCTTTTGAGCTTTGGGACTTTGCGGTTGAGGGTTCAGGGCTCTCAACATGAAGGCTGAGAGAACTAGGCCCAAGCTCTGAGGTGTCTATGATTTACTGAAGCCTCTGTGAGCATTACCCAGAGACTCCAATATCCCTTAATTAAGGTATATTCCTTAAACTATAATAGGATCCATAATACGATTTAAGGAATGTTCCGTAATTAAGGCATCTTGGAGTCTCTAGGTATGTGTATACAGGAGGGCTTTCTCTCCGAGCATCCCCATAAAAGACAGCCCCAACCGTACTTGGAGGATCAGGGGACTCAGTAGTTAGGTTATAAGTACCTTAATTGGGGTTCTAAGTAGTTATAAGTACAGTTATCTTAATTACAACCCTAGTTACCAAGTCCCATGACCCTTCAAGTAGACCCTAATCCCTAAACCCGATAGATCCCTTTAAGGAACCCCTACAGATCCCTTTAAAGGAGCCCCAAACCCTAAGGATACTGCTTCAATGCGGCGACCCTGAAACTCTTGCCGAACCCTGTCTAGAACCCCCGGAGAGCCCGTGAGGATCCTCATGGAACCCTGAAAAAAAGTCCTGGACCTTCCAGGACCCTCCTTGTACCCTCAATTAAATAGGGGTATATGGTCCCAAGTAAGGGGCACTTAGGGTCTAATAGAGGGTAGATGGAGGGTCTAGGTTGCCAAGGGAGCAGTATAACTCTACGTAATAGCTACATGCCAAGTCCCTTGACCTTCCAGGTAGTCCCTGAAGCCCCAAAGAGCCTAAACCCTAAACCCTGAACCCCTAAACAAACCCCTAAACCCCAAGCCCCTAACCCCAAACCCTAAACCCCTAAACCCCTAAACCCCTGAACCCCAAACCCTAAAAACCCTCAACCCCTAAATCCTTGAACCCTAAACCACCTAAACCCCAAACCCTAAACCCCTAAACCCCTAAAACGCTAAGCCCCTAAACCCGAAGGCCCTATATCGGAACCTTTTAAGGAACCTTTGACGGAACCCTTTAAGGAGCCCCTTAAGGCCCCTCAATCCCGCACAACATCGCCTTTCCAGGAGATCGGCATACTCCCGTGGGATGGTCCAGTAGGAGGAAGGGGGCTCCCTTACCTGCCCCAGGAGCTTACTTGGAGGGGCAGGGGACTTAGCAAGGATCCCTTAAAGGGCTCCTTAAAGGGATCTATAGGGTTCAATAAAGGGATCCATAGGGTTTAGGGTTTAGGGTCTACTTGGGAGGACCAGGGGACTTAGTAAGTTAGGTTATAAGTACCTTACTTGGGGTTCTGAGTAAATAAGTACGGTTAGCGTATTTATAACCTTAGTTACTAAGTCCCATGATCCTTTTAGTAGGTGCCTTAGACAGGGTTCCTTTAAGAGGGCTCCTTCTGGGCTCTGCCAAGGATCTAACAGGGTTCTATAATGGGTGCCTTAGTCGTTAAAGTCTGGTTTTGCTGATTGTTATGCCATGGCTATAACAAGGAACCCTAATACATAATACTGGTATTCATTCGGTTGACTCCGGCTTCTCTAGTACGCCCGTCTTGTTGTAGAGCTTACGCATTGAATGTTTTAAGGTTTAGTGTTTCGTTTGTAGGGTACATCCCTTGGAATTGGACTGTTATACATAGAGAGAGAGAGAGAAAGAGAGAGAGAGAGAGAGAGCGATGTGTAAATGTGTGTGTATATATATATATATACATTTATATCTATATATATATACACATACTACGGGCTACATGGGACTCAGTCGAAGCAAATTCCCCTATTTAACTCTGCATATAGCAGCCTTGGCGACCGATTACAGTAGAAAGAGATATTATACTTTCACTGCCAAGGCACTACAAGGGAATATTATGCCAATGGACTCAGCCTCTACTACAAACATTTCGAATGTTCTACAATACCTCCGGGCTAGTTTGAAACAAACATGGAATACAATTCCGAAGGACAGCCCTGCAGACCCTAAACCCTACACCCTAAATAGAAGAGCCTTAAACTCTTGACCCGGAGACCTGAGCCCTCATATTGTAGGGGCCTTCTTAATTAGAGTAGGGTTTTGGGTTTCCCTATTGCGAATATACATAGAATACACCACAGAACCCTATTCCACTTACGAAGGCGCCTAGAATACCCTGAACCCTAAACCCTACACCCTAAACCCCCTATTTTCCGAGAGCCCATGGAAGCCCTGAATCTCTACACCCTACAGCCCCCGAATCCCAAGCCACACCTACATTATAGTACCCCTGTAGTAACCCTTAACGACCCCTTTACAGGAACCCTAAACCCTAAACCTTATTCTAGAGCCCTGGATCATTAGAAAAGGGATTTGGGGATTTCTTATTATCATTTTAGTAGACCATACCCCAGAACACTGTTCTGTTCTTAATCCTTCTTGTTGCACCCTAAACCCTAAACCCTGAACGGCTCGAATCCCCAATCCACACGAGGGGGAGCCTTCTCTCTTGCTATCGCTGGCGGCGGCGCGCTGCCACTGCCAACTTCCAGGGCTCCCGAAGATCTCAGGTGTCTTGTTTTTTAAAATAACTCGTGAATGTTACATATACCTATTAAAAAAACAAACGCATATACAAATTATGTATTTCAATATAGAGACCGTTCGTTTCAAGGGTATACTTTCATATGATGATCTAGGGAATGGGGATGGTATTACGTGCGACTAACTCATGTCACACCTCCAACATTATGGTGCTTTTGCGAAGTTGGGCTGGAGTTCCCCCTAAACCCTAAACCCCTAAACCCCCAAACCCTAAACCCTAAACCCCTAAACCCTAAACCCTCAGGGGCGAGTTGGGTAAATTCGGTGCGCCGATGGCACAGTCGAGGGCAGATGACTGAAGGTCTGAGCCAGGAGAGTACTACACTTACCTTGGATTAGTAGGGAATGGAGGAATGGGGTACAATTGTAACCACTATTACTACCATTCTTCCATTCCCTGCTAACCAAATGTAAGTACAGGGGCCTTAATGATTACCTGTACTATTTTGGGGGTTCCTTATTGTAGTAATTATTAAGGCCCCCTATCTTAATGGCACTGATCTCCCACGTTTTGAAAACCTTTTGCCGCCCACCCCCTAGGAAAGATTATGACTCCAAGGCGAGGTGCGCAAATCTCGGATGCCGCCGCCACCACCTGCCCCACGGCGATGGCCGAAAGAGTCCCGGAAGTCGCACTTTGGCGAACATGGCGGCAGTCGGACTCGGGCGGAAAATTGAGCAGTGGCCCAAGCCCTTGAAGATAGTTCTTCTGGTGTAATATAGTTTTTGTAGGAACCTTGAGGAAAGTATTATTAGTCACTCAAGCCTCTATGGCCATTGAAAGACTTTACGAGACAGTGTTCAGCTACGTGGGCAACTACCGTCGTAGGTTTCACTTGTGATGGAAAGGCTTTGGGGCAGAGGAAAATACTAAACGGAGTCTAAGTGGAAACTCTAAACCCTAAACCCTATGCCCTAAGAATCGACCCAGTACCCTCAAGAATACGACTACTTAAAAGGGACTACCTGGAGGATCAGGCGACTTAGTAAGTTAGGTTACAAGTACCTCAATTGGGGTTATGAGTAATTATAAGTATAGTTACCTTAATTATAACCCTAGCTATATACTAAGTCCCATGAACCTTCAAGTAGGGTGGGATCTTGTGCTCTACTACAGCGTTTCAAGTGAGCTTTGGCGGACTACTGGCCGGGTTCTTCCGACACGTCTGTGGACGGGGGGGCCTGTTGGGCCGAAAACTGCGGGATCCTCGGGGCATAGACTCGGAACCCTGCGACTTCGGGCTTAGTTTAGGGTTTAGGGTTCCCTAAAGGGTTCTATAAGGGATCTCTAAGGTTTAGGGTTTAGGGTTTAGGGGTTTATGGGTTTAGGGTTTAGGGGTTTAGGGTTTAGGATATAAGGGGTAGGTTATATGAGGGTTTATAGGAGTTTAGGGTACATAGGGCTTAGCGTTTAGCGCTTGGGTATTGGGGTTCAGGATTTAGGATTCAGGGCTTAGGATTAGGATTGAGTGGGGTGTTACAGAAGTGCGAAACTGTAGTTTGCACTTGAAGTATACGTTCCGCGATGCGGCTGTGGCATTTAAGTTCAATTTCCGACACCTTTCTGCCACAACCGCAGCATCATGGCAAGTATATCACGGCACGGCCCAACAAGGCAACTAAAGCCTAAACCATAACCACGTGCTAACCCCGTGCACACGAAAGGAAATCCATCCCTTCGGCGACTCTTGAATACCCTAACCGCTAAATCCTAATGCAGGGGCCTTAATCATTAGAATAGGAATTTGGGGCTCCATGTTAGAACTGTAGTCTCATATACCCCGCAAAACCCTATTGTAATAATTCAGGCCCTACATTACCGCGTTTCGGCCGTCCTTTGCAGACCCTTGCTCGGCCTTTCACTCTACGGGGTCCCTCAAAATGAAGGCTTAAGGTGAAAATAATTACTGGGCTTTGCAATAGCCAGGGAGACAAATGTATGGACTTCTATTTCATGATGGCTTCCCGGTAAGTAACAGGTTACAAAACAGTATTCAAGTATGGTACTCCAAGCCCCGATGAAAAGAAGTACTGTACCCCGTTCTGCCCCCAAATACCCATACTTGCATCTCTACCCATTCTGACTGCCTAGGCATCCATGTCGTGCCTTCCATGCCTTCCCATACCGACCCGAGCCTTGTACCTACGAGCTCTTCGAAGCAGTACGCTTACACATGCGAAAACATTCAGATGCGTGACGCTCCTTCTGACGGACACAACAAGCAGATTCGATGTTACTAAGGCTACCCTGAAGAACTTATGACAGATTCGGATAGAAACTTGGTAGCTAAAAGCCTCAACCCCGCTCGAAACTTGGTGGTTCCACAGCTCATACGTCGCCCTGGCAAACACAAGGGCCTGTAGGCGGCACAGGGCATGGAACTGGAACACCCTCCCCAGAGAGAGGCGCGGCATTTCACCTTTTTGAGCTTGCTTGTCAGTGGGTGGAGAAAAAGTCCTCCGTCTTCCGCCTCTATGGCTATGAAGTCCCGCTCAAGTTTGTACCCACACGTGCAACACATTTTGTGTGCTACCGTCCTGAACTAATTTGCATGCTGTATGTTTGTTTTGCTTCACTGTATTTTTAGAGCGCAACACTGACTGAGTGACTTCGCAGGCGTGTGAACCACAGGAAAAGTTTAGCATGGAGCGGAGCAGCTGGTAAGCCACTCCTGTGTGTTTGGCGAACCGCTGCTCGGGGCAGACCCCAGGGTAGTGGTAGTGAGAGGGACTTTGACACGTCACGGTTAGGTTCTCGGGTTCTTGTGGTAAGAGAGCCCTTTAGGGACCAACTGTGTGCCATTGTCCAGGTGAAAAAGGGATCCAGGATTTTCTTGTGGACAGTTCGGTGAAATAAGCGCGGCGGGTAGCTGCAGACGCCGGGGCTGGCCGGCAGTAGTGCCATGGAACAAGATGCGCAGGCAGCTGCGCAAGCGCTAGCACAAGCGCAAGCACAGGCAGCCGCAATCCCGATGCCAGAGATTGATGATGATGGGCCCGAGTTGCAAGCAGCCCAGCAAATCCCTTTACAGGGGAGGCCCTTCGAGGCTTCCTACGATTCTGTAGGAAAAAAGAGCTCCTGCAAGTGGAGCTTCCCAGCGCAAAAAAACAGCCCACGTACAGCAAGCAATCGAAACAGTTGAGGCTACAAGCTGAGATTAACATCTGCCAGTAGATGCCGCAAAATCCTCGCATCAGCGTGCCAGCATTTAGCCGCAGCAAACTTATCAAGAGCATTACCGCAGGAGGGCGGCGAGCCTCATGTGCATCAGAGGTGAGCCTGTTTAACGTCTTTGGTCTCGACCCAAACTGCAGATAGCAGACGTGCTTTTTGCAGCCTTACTTCAAAGCAGCAAATCCAAATGCAGCGCAAGATGTGCGATGGAACTGGGCCACACCTGCAGCCACTGTCCTGAACATCTTCTTCAGTTCCACTCTTCTCTGAAACATAATGCGCGAGCTGGAGAAACCATGGGAACCCACATGTACCCCACAGGGAACCGAGCTGACACACTGCAAGAGCCAAGGGAGCCCGCCCAGACCTTTGCGCAATATATGCTAGGAAAACCATGGGAACCCACTTGCAATGCTGCAAAAAGCAAGGAACCCACAGGGAACCCACCGTCGATGCTGTTAAACCATGGGAACCCATTAAAAATGCTGCAAAAAACTAGGAAACCCACAGGGAACCCAGCTGACATGCTGCAAAAGCCAAAAGAGCCTATTGGAAACCATGGGAACCCACTTCAAACGCTGCAAAAACCCGGGAACCAAACAGAGAACCCACCGTATCGACGGTGAAAAACCATGGGAGCCCACTTAAAAATGCTGCAAAAACTAGGGAACCCACAGGCCACCGTCCATGCTGCAAAAACCATGGGACTCGACAAGAAAGCTATCTGAAGAACATACACAGACCCACCCGAAATGCTGCAAAAAACAAGGGAACCCATATGTTGCCCACCTGAAGTGCTGCAAAAAACAAGGGAACCCACAGAGAATCCACCATCGATATTGTTAAAAACCATGGGAACCCACTTAAAAATGCTGCAAAAACTAGGGAACCCACAGGGAACCCACCGTCCATGCTGCAAAAACCATGGGACTCGACAAGAAAGCTATCTGAAGAACATACACAGACCCACCCGAAATGCTGCAAAAAACAAGGGAACCCATATGTTGCCCACCTGAAGTGCTGCAAAAAACAAGGGAACCCACAGAGAATCCACCGTCGATATTGTTAAAAACCATGGGAACCCACTTAAAAATGCTGCAAAAACTAGGGAACCCACAGGGAACCCACCGTCCATGCTGCAAAAACCATGGGACTCGACAAGAAAGCTATCTGAAGAACATACACAGACCCACCCGAAATGCTGCAAAAAACAAGGGAACCCATATGTAGCCCACCTGAAGTGCTGCAAAAAACAAGGGAACCCACAGGGAACCCACCCCATCTGCTGCAAAAACCAAGGGAACCCACTTACACACCCTTTGGGTAGTATAACACTATTAGAACGGTGGAAGGTCCCAGACATGCCGGAGTCAATCAAACTCAGTTGGCAGCTGAGTATTATACCACCGGCTTTGTCCTAAGGGTGAAATGATTTGCCCGCCACCTCTGGGCTCGTTTAAGTTCCCTCGTCTGTATCCTCACACCCTGCAGCATACAATCTCGAATCAAACTGCGGCGGATCAGTAGAGTCTGCCTGTCCTAGCTTTCTGCAAGCGGACAAGTTCGGATCCAGATTTCCCATGCTGCGCGTTGCTCTACGTAAAAGACTACGGCGCTCAGCTTCGACCTTGCAACAGGCTCAACATTTCAGAAGCGAATGAGCATGATATGACGGGCTCACATTCGTGCATTCGGAAAAACCTGCTAGATGTCAACAAAGAGTTTTGGCTGCCCACATGGACTACAGCAAGGCTCACTTACTCATCCTAAACCCTACACCGCAACGCAACCACGTTTTGTGGCCTTCAGAAAAAGAAGGCTGGGATTACGTCAAAGCAAGGCTTCGTCACTGACTAGCCGGAAAGTTTACCAGCTGCTCAGGCAACAGTTTGGGCAATGCTCATACATTCACTGGCTCAGATGGCAGACCTCATTGCCAGATGGCAAACCCCACTCCGCAGAGTCATCGCTTTTAGTGCCGGGCTCAAAGCCCGTGAAACATTCGTGCCCTGGCTCAGACAAGGCTTGCACACTGCTGAACCGCTCACGCTCAACCGAAGACGAAGAAGTTACTAGCTGCCACGCAACAGTTCGGGTCACAGCCAAGCTCTCTCACCCACTGCTTCGGCAGGGCTCGCACCGCTGACCACTCTCAGCGCCGGGCTCAAAGCCGTAAACATTCATTCCCTTGGAAAAGAAAGAGCGAAACTTGGTCACTGCTTTACGCGCTGCAGGCAGCCGTTCGTCGCAGCAAAGCTCACTCATTCACACTCACTGACTCACGTACTAAAAGCTGGCAGAGCTTAGTCACTGCTCAACAGATACTCGCTGCTGGGGCAACAGTTCAACACCAGAGAGGCGACAGCGAAGCTCACTGACCGCTGATCACTCTCAGTGCCGGGCTCAATGCGCGTTAAAACATTCGCGCCATCGTGTGAGAAACGACAAGGGTTAATTACTGCGATTCAGAAAG